GGTTGGGTTAGTGGTTAGTGAGGTAGATATGGGGTATGTGGGGGTTTGATGGTTATTAAGGAGATGGTTATGTGGAATGTGGGGGGGGTGGGTGTTGGGGGTTGGAATGTAGGGGTAGAAAGTGTTAGATGTAGTATAATATAGAGGGGTATTTTTTAGAATAGGTGATAAGGGGTTGTAGTGTTGAAGTGGTGGTGGAGGTGATGGTGGTTTATGGGATTAGTATTATTTTGTTGATTAGGTTTGAGATTGTAAAGGAGTATGGGGGGTAGGAAGGGTTAGGATATTAGGATATAAAAAATGGTTATATATAGTGGATTAAGTATGAATTAGTTTGAGGTGGGTTAAGAGGAGGGAGAAGGGGTTTTTAGGAAGGTTGAGGAGGGATGAATTATGAATATGTATTGAGTGGGTTGTATGGGGTTGTGGGTTTTTTGTTTGTATTGTTTTTGGTTGTTAAATTTTGGGGTATGGGTTGGTGTTGTTGGGGTGGAGGAATTTAATAGAGGTTATTGAAATAAGGTTGGGAATGGATGATTTGTAGGTAATATTTTTTGTAGGGTGTTGATTTGTTAGTGTGATTTGGTTATGTTATTGTGTGATGGTTTGGGTTTTGAATTTGTGTAGTATAAGTTTGGAGGGTAGGGTGAAGAATGAATATAAATATAAATATATATATATATATGAATATTGATAGGTTATTTTGTGGAGATAGAGAGTGTAATAGTAAGAGAGGATGTGAATTGATATTGTATTGGGGTTGTTTTATTTAGTATATTTGGGAAGGATGTGTTTTTTATATAGGGATGTAGAATGTGGGATGATGTTGAATTGTTTTAATGAGACATGGGATTTTGAGAATAGGAATGATGTGAGTTTTTGTGGTTTTGGTGTTTTTGGTGTTTAAAGGTATTGTATGATTTATTAGGTTATAGAGAAGGTTAGGTAGGATGATGATTGTTAGTGAATTGGTGGTATGTAGAGGTGTGTGGGGGGGTATTGGATGTTTGTTGTGTAAGGGGGTGAAGTGTGTGTTTGGGGTGAGGTGATGTTGGAATGGTTGGTAATTTATTGTGTGTGTATAGGTGGGTTGAGGGGGGTGTTTGATGGTTTTATATGGGGGGTATGGTTGTGTGGGTTTGGGTTAGTTTAGGTAAAATTTATTTAGTATTTTTTGGAGGAAATTAAAGTGGGGAGGTAAAGTATATATTTGGGAATTTTGGTATGTGATTGATTTAGTTGGGGTGTATAGTTTATTTTTTTGAATAATATTAGTATTAGTATTTATGGTTGGTAATTTTGTTGGGTAGTGTTTGGGGGAGTCTGTTGATATGGGTGTTGATGAGGGAATGGTGGGAATGTTGTAGGGGGTAATTGAAATAAGAGATAAGTATAATTATTAGAAATAGTGGTAGGGATGGAGGTGGGGAAGGGGATTGGTATAGTTTAAAAATTGGAAATTTGAACAAGATGTATTGATTGGATTGGAGATATATTGTGGATAAGGAAGAAGGGGTAGATAATAAGATGTGGGGGAAGGGTGGAGGGGGGGAGTGTTAGGGGGGATGAGAGGTAGAATAAAAAAGGTAAAGGTTTGGTGGTTTGGTGTTTTGGTGGGTGGTGGGGATAGTGTGGTTAGTGGATATAATGGGTTTGGGGTGGATAGAGGGGTTTCAATTGGGGGGAGGGGGAGAGTAAATGGAGATTGAAGGGGGGATGATGGTGAATAAAAAGAGAATTGGTTGATAGAATGGTTTGGAAATTTGGGGGGAAATGGTTGGGTGGTTATGAAGGTGTGGGTGTGAGGGAAGTGGAATAGGTTGTTGTATGTAGTTGGGAATTTAATTAGAAAAATGAATTATTGAAATTGGGGGTTGGGTGGGGGAAAATGAGGATGAGTTTTATTTAGTGAATGGGTGGGATTAGGATAGGATAATTGTATTGAGGTAGGATAAGATGGGTTTGAGAGTAAATGGGGTTGGATAATGGATAGTTGGATGTATATGTTGGGGGATTGTGGGAAATTTGTGAATGATGGGTTTGGGGGGGGGTTGTTTGTGTGATGTGATTGTAAATTGGGTTTGGAATTTGATGGGTGTTGGGGGGAGGGAAAAGGGTATTGGAGGGGTTATGTTATGTTTTATGGTGTGAGGGGTTGAAATGATTTATTATGGAGGGGGGAAAGGGGTGGTAGGGGTGGGTTAATAGGTTATAATGGGGAATATGGGGAGGAGGGAGAGGGTATGAATTAGGGGGGGGTTGGTGGAGGGGGGGGGGGGGTTGGGGGGGGGGGGGGGTGGGAGGTGGGTTATGTAGGGGGTAAAGAGAGAGGGGATGGGGGAAAATGGATGAGGGGAGTATGGTGGTGGGTGATAATAGGGGGTGGGTGGTTTTGTTGTTTGTATGGGGTTGGGAGGGTGTGGGAATTTTGGGGATGGGGTTTTAATTGGATGGTGGGGGGTGGTGTGAAGATGGTGGTGGTTATGTTTTAGATTGGTATAAAGGTGGATTAGGTTATTTTTGATAGGGGTTGGATAGGGATAGTGTAGGGGTTTTAAAGGGATAGTAGTGGAGTAGGGGGGGAGGTTGGGATAGGGGTGGGATATTTTGTGTTAAGGATTGGGTATGGTGGATATAAGATGTATGGTATATGGGGAGGGGGGAGGAGTTTGGGGGAGTGAATTATTGTTTTGGAGTGAGGTGAGTTGAGGTGTTTGTATGGGGAGGTTTAGATTTATGATGGAGGGGGGTGGGGGTATGGAGGGTGTGGGTTTTAGGTTGATGGTTGAGAATTTTATTATATAGTGAAGGTTTTATGGAGAAGGGTAGGGGGGGGTGGGATGGTTTTGGGTGTTAGAGGGGTGAGGGGGAAGGGGGGGGTGTAATGTTATTAGGTAATAGAGTAGGTGATTTTTGGAAATGATAGAATAGGTTGGAAATTGGGTTTTGATTTTTGTTTTGAGGGAGGAGTGAGAGGTGTAGGGGGGGTTTTTTTGGTGTGTATATATAGTTATTGAGGGGATATGGGGGTGTTAGAGGAGTGAGAGAAGAAATGAGATAGGGGGGGGTGTATTGATGGATGAGGAAGTGGGAATAGGGGTGGAAGGATTTAATTGGGGGTGGAGATAGGGAATGAATGGGGGGGTGGGGTATGGATTTGGGGGTTGGTGAATTAGGGGTGGTATGAGAGTGGATTAGGGGGTAGGGTTTATTTTGTTTGGGTGGGGAGGGGATGTATTTGGTATTAGGGTGTGAATAATTAGAGGGAATGATTGGATTGGGTTTTATTTGTGGGAAAGGTTTGTTATATGTGTGAGAGTGGGTATGGTTTTTAGGGGGGTGGGGGAATTATGGATTTATGGATTTGAGGGGGGGTTTGGGGGGTGTTGGGATGGGTTTGAGAGTTAAGGGTTATATGAGTTAAGGGGATTAGATATTTTGGGGGTTGGGGGAGTGATAGTGTGGGATGAAGAATTTGGAGGAAAATGGTGGTGGGAAGGGGGGATGTGGGGGGATGGGATTGGAGATAAATGGTATATGTATTAATAAAAGATGGTGAAGAAGGATGGGGTGGAATATGGTGAAAGGTGAGGGATGGGGAGGATGATTTGGGGGGTTGGGAGGAAATGGTATATTAGTATTATGGATGATGGGGTGGAGGGGGGTTGTGAGGGTTAATAGTAAGGATGGAAGTTTTGAATTGAGAGTAATTAGGTAATAGGGGAAAAATTGGGTAGTGAGGTTGTTGTTGTTGTTGTATGGGGGGGGTTTGATAAAGGTTGTGTAGAGAAGATATGATGATGGTGTTAAGAATGGTGGGGTTTGGGTTGGGATTTTAGTGAAGTAAGGGGTAAATTTGGGGAGTGTTAGTAAGAGATTTTATTGTAGGTAAGGTGGAAAGATTAGATAGATGGGAGGGAAGGGATTTGGAGGTTGTTAGAAGATGGTGGGAAGGAATAGAAGGTGAGTAATAGAGATTGATTATATAGGTTTGGGATGAGTTTGTAGTGTATTTATATGGATGATAATATAGGTTAGTTTGGGATGTGGGGAGGGAGGGAGGGGTGAAATTTTGTATTGAGAGGAGGATTTTTAGTGGAGGGTTTTTAAAGGTTTGGGTTGGAGGAAGAGGATTTTGTAATTTGGAATTGATGATTAGATTGGTTTGGGGTTAGGTGTGGTTGGGTGTATGTGAATGGATGTTTTATTGGGATAGTGGGGGATGTTGGGAAGGGGGTGAGGGGATGGTATTATTATAGGGTGGGTTGATTTTTGGATGAAATTTTTAAAGGGGGGGTTTTTGTGTGTAAGGATATGGGGTTGGTGTAAGGATATGGGGAGTATATGGGGGATGTGTGGGTTGGTGGGGTGGGTGGTGTGGGGTGGGGGGGGGGATAGATAAGAGGTGGGGGAGGTAGGGGGGATGGGATGATGGGAATGTTGGGAATTGGGGGGTTGGGGAATGAAGTTATGGGGAAGTGATTTTAATATTGGAATTTGAAATAGAAGAAAGAAGGGGAAGTGATTAGGTTTTAAGGGGGGAGTAGTTATGTGGGGGGTATGGTTAGTAAGGGGGATTGATTTTGTGGGTGAGGGTTGTTTGTGGTGGGTTGGTGGGTAATTGATGTTTTTTTTGAAGTAGGGGAAAGCTGAGAAATGGAGGTTTATGATTGGTAAGTGTTGGGTAAGTGATGTAATTTGAAATTTAGGTGTGGGAATTTTTTAAGATTAAGTTTGTGGTGTGTTGTTTTGTATTTGAAGTATTTATTGTATTTTGATGATGTTGGTGGTTTTTTGTTTTTTGTTTATGGTTGGGTGTTTATAAATTTTTATGTTGTATTTGGTAGGGGTGGGAGGGTGTTTGAAAGAATATATAGATGTGAGGGGTGGATGAATGTGGGGGTGTTAGGTAAGGGTGGAATGTAGAAAAAGGGTTGTGAGGGGGTAAGGGAGGGGGTGTATGTGGGGGGGGGAGTGAGTGGGGGGTGGGGAGGGTGATGATGGGGATTGTAGATGGTGGGGGGGGATTTAGGGGTGTAAAGGTGGGGGTGGTGGATGTGGGGTGTGGGGTGGAGGGGGGGGGGGGGGGGGGGGGGGGGGGGGGGGTAGGTTGGTTTGGGTGTGGGGGGATGTGGGAAAGATATGGGAGGTTGGGAGGTAGAGAGAAGGGGTTGAAATTATTGTGAATGAATTTATGTAATTTGTGAAAAGAGGATAAGAGGGTGTGAAGGGTGATGTATTTTTGTGGTTTTTGAGTTAAGAGATAATATGAATTGATGAGAGCTGGAATTGGGGATGGTTGGGTTGTGGGGTATGGGAAGGTGGAAAATTATTTTGTATGGAAAGTAAGTTATTGGTGGGGGGGGGGTTTTTTTTTTGGTGGTGAGGGGTATAAGAGGTGAGGGTGAAATGGGGGTAATTTATTGTTGATATATGGGTGGTATGAATGTGGGGGTTTGGTGAGTTTGGGATGGAAGGTTTGAGATGGGTGAGTGGAGGGTGGATTTATGTAGTTTATGGGTGGTATTTGGTTTAAAATTTGTATGGATATGTTTGTTGATTGTGTGGTAGAAATTTATAGGAATTGTAGGTTTGTTTGGAAGTATTTTTTTTGGTTTTAGTTAGGATGTGTGATATGTGTTTTTTTATAGGTGATGGTAGGGGTGAGGTTAGATGGTTTTTGTATGGTGGTAGATAATTAGGGTTTAGGTAATGAGGGTGGTTGGGGGGGGGTTGGAAGAGAAGGGAAGAGTAAGAGTGAATAGGAGATGGAGGTATGAGGTGGTTGGGGGTGGTGGAGGATAGTGTTATGTGGTGGGGAAGTGTGGGTGGATTAGGAGGGTGGGGGGTATTGTGTCATGATTATGTTTTAGAATGGGTGTGAATGGGGATGGTAGTGAATGTTTTAATAATTTTTAGGGTGGATGAGATTGTAGAATGATGGGTGATTGTATGAGGAAGTTTGATTGGTTTTAGGGTTTGGGGAGGGGGAAGGTTGGATTTTTTTTTTTAAAATGGGTTTTGGGGTAAGGTGGGGAATTATAGGTGGTGGGTGTGAGGTGTTTTATATTTTTGGGGTGTTAATTTGTGTGTATGTAGTTCTTTGGATATTGGATGGGATGGTTAATAGTGGAGGTTGGAATTTGATTATGGATATGGATGATTATTTTGTATGATGATGTGAAAGTGAATGTAAATAGAAGGGGGGGAGATGGAGAGGGTGGATAAGGGGGAAGGGGGTGGTGGGAATTGGTGTGTGGGGGGGGATGAAGTGTTTTGTAGTAATTAGGATATTTGGGGGTTTTTTTTAGTGTTTTTTTTGTTATGGATGGTGGGTATATTGTTGATTGTTATTGATTATGTTTTTTATTGGTGAGTTTAGGGGTGGTAGTTCTTTTTGAGATTTGGTAATGGTGGTTGATGATTATATGGGGGAATGTGTGTTGTGATTAATATTTGTTTAGTGAAAGATTTATGCTAATTTTATTTTTTAATATTTGGGATTATGGGAATGAGGGGATAATTCTTGTTTGGTGGGTGGATAGTAGGATTGGATTATTTTAGAGGAAAGTTAGTTTATGAATTTGGTTTTATTTTTGAGAGGTTATATTATGTGTTGTTTTATATTTTAAATGAGGAAATTTTGTTATAGATGTTGAAGAGGGTATATTAGAGTGGTGTGGGTATTGATGGTGGAAAGAGGTTGGATTGGGGTTTGTTATATATAGTGTAATAGATAGGGGGGGGGGAATGTGTTCTAGGATGGTGGTGAATTTGAGAGAGGGGTATGGGGAATAGGAAAGAATGGGTTATATTGAGTTAGGAATGAGGTTGTTGATGTGGATTTAATAGATATTTAGTGTATTTATGGAGAGTGGGGGAGTTAGGGGAGGGGAGGTTAAGTTGATATATTTTGTATAATGTTGAGGTAGTGGTGAAGATGGAGAAGAAGGTAATGGAGAAAGTTGAGATAAAGTTTTTTTTGAAGGTGGGTCATTTTGTGAATGGAGTACTTATGGAAGTTGGTGGTGGTGAATTTTTTTGGTTTGGGTGATTTTGAATTTTATGTGTGTTTATGTATTGAGGAGTATTATTTTTGGTTTGAAAGATTAGGTTTATTATTGGGGGGGTATTATGTTATTGTATGTTTGTATGTTGGGGTTTTTTGGGTTAGTAATGGGTTGTTGGAGTGAGTGGGTGTAAATTATTTTTATGTTTATTTTGGTTATATAATGAATGTTGATGGAAGTAATTATTAAATGTGTATGTTTTTTTTGGATGATTGTGAATAGTGTGGGTTGGGTGTTGTTGTTAGTGTATTGTTGGTTGTGGTTGATGTAATTAAATAGATAATTTTTTTAGAGGTTGGTATAAATTGTGGTATTAATATTTGGGGGTGAATTAGTATTACTTAATGATGGGATTATATGGAAAGTATTAGTCCAAGTGGTAAAAAAAAAAAAAAAAAAACAAAAAAAAATATTAAGGGATTAAATATTGTTAGTATTTAAAGATGGGAATTGAAATGGGAGTTATTGAATTATATATTTATATTTGTAGGGGTACTTATATTAATGGGGGGCATTGTATCTTTTTTGTTTGATAGGTTTTTATTGGAGTAGAAGCAAGGGTGATTTACAAAGAAAAATTTATGAATATTTGGGTTTGATTATGTAAGATGAGGTGTAATGAACTAGGGAAGAGGGTTAATGGCCGAAATTTGTAATTATGATAAATTTAAATAAGAAGGGTTAAGTAATAGATAGGATGAAGGTAGGGCTATTAAGAAGAGAACGATAGATGTAATTTATTGATTAGTTAGATCTCAATAATCAAAAAAGGTGGGGTGGTTTAGATGTGTTTGAAGTTGTAATTTTGTCTGAGATGCGGTAGGGAGGAAGTGAAATTCTAGGTAAGAAGAGAAGAGGAGGTATAGGAGGAGGGTATTATGGTATCAATGATGGAAATGTGTCGGAAAGGGGTTATAGAGGATGGGGATGTATACAGATTGGTTAAGTGGATTGAATTTATGTTGAAGTTATTGTGAGGTATTATCCAAGGAGGCGTATATTAAAAAAGTGATTAAATAAATGATTTGAAAAAATGTAGAGTAAAATGTATTAATAGTTTTTGTGTTTTTTGGGATGTATGATTAAATGGAATGGATAATGTGGGATATGGAGGTGGATTTTGGGGATGTTTTTTGTAGGGTTCAGAGGTAGTGGTTGGAAGTGTTTAACATTGAGTTTGGTTGGAGGTGGGGCTAATAGGTTGGGGTTTTAGAGGGAGGTATTTATGTTAGGGGGGTTGTAGTGGTTTTTCTGATTGTACTATTGTTTGTTTAGTTAGTTAATAATTTAATTTATTAGGGGGGGATTTTGGTGGAATTATTGTGAGGTTTTGGGGGGTGGTTTGGGTTATTTTTGGATAAGATTTTGATATGTTGGTTAGGGTTGGGGTTGTTTAATAATAAGATTAATTTTTTTTGGTAGTGTTTTATGTTTTTTATGAGGGAGGGAGTTTTGTATAAGTTGTTTTAAATTGTGGGTTATGTTGTGTTGGTATTTTATTTTTTGTATGTAGGAAGTTTGTAATTATATTATGTTGTGATATGATACTAGATAATTTTATTTTTTTGGAATAATAAATTGAATATGATGTATATTGGGTTTTGTTGTGAAATATGCTGTTTTTGGTGAGTGGAGAGGAGGGTGTTGTATAGGTGGTGTAGGTGGGAAATATGTAAAAAGATTATATGAGATTGTTATAGTGTGTGAATGAGGTTAGATATGTAAAGGTTGAATATAGAGTGATATTGGTAGGGGTTTAGGTTAGGTGAGTGTAGTTGAATAGTGAAGTTTAAGATGAGAAGTTTTAGAGGGGTGATATGAAGAGGGTTGTGGGTAAATGTAAAGTGAGATGGGGAGATTATTGATGTGTGATTTATTGGTTTATTATTGGAAAAGGGTAAAGAGGGTGGTATTAATTATAATGTTTATGAAATGTGGGGAATAAATGATATGTAAAATTATAATAAGAGAATGTGGTAAAGAGGATGTTAAGTGTTGTTTTTTGGGGTAGCTTGGGATTTTGTGGGGATGTTGTGGTTAGATTTTTTGTTTTTTTTTTTTGTTATAGTTAGTATAGAGTTATGTTGGGGTATGGAAAGTATTGGTATAAAAAATAATGTATGTGGTGATTTAGCAGGTATTGGATAGTAATGGTAGGTGGTTTGGTAATTTGAATATGGATCGGGATTATTTCGAATGTGTGGTTGATAAACAATACAAATGGAAAAAATATATAAAATGATGATGTCTTACTTTATTGGAATTTGAAGCTTGTTTGTTAGAATTCTTTGGATTTATTTTATTTGTTTAGTTTTTGTTTTGTTTTAATTTGTTTTTGAGATGGGGTGTGGGTATATTGTAGGTTATGGTATATGTGGGGTAGGGGTTGTAGGTTAATAGAATTAATTTATATGAGATTGGATATAGTTTTATAATAGGATATATGGTGGTTTTTGTGTTGGTGTTTATTGGAGTGGGTATGGGATAGGGGTATGATTTGTAATGGGGGGTGGATGGAAGTAGGGGAATGGTGAGTTGGGGATGAAGTAATATGTGGTTTTGATATGAAATGTGATTGGGGTGTTTGTATTTAGGTGGGGGAGTTAATTTGTGGTTTTATATATTTAAATACTATAGTGATATGAAAATAGTAGGAGGTATTAAATTAAATGGTTGAGTGTTTGTGTGTTTTGTGATGTAGGAATTTAGGAAAAAATGGAAAGGATTTTAAGTGATTTTGTGTAGAGGTAGATGTTATATGTAATTAGTTCAGGATGTGTATAAAGGTTATTGGTGGGTAGGGAAGTAGAGAATGGAAATAAGAGCAATATAACTGATGATGTAATTAGTGTATGTACATTTTGGGAGTCTTTATATTAAGAAGTTGAAGATAATAAATATTGTTTTAAGAATGGAAGAGGGGGGAGAGAGTATTATAATGAAGATTAGGGAAAATGATAAGTGAGCGAAGTGGTGTGGTGTAAGGTGTGGAATTATAAAAAATATTAATTATATGTTGGGATGTTTTAATAGTGGGGGTAGTTGATGGAGGGGGTTTTGTGGGTTTGATGGTTTTTGTTTGTGTGGTGTTATAATTAGGTGATTATATATGTAGTTTTGGGTAGGGGAGTGATGGTGGATTGGGTATGTCAGAATTTTGGAAGTTCTATTGTTATATAGATGGAGGTATGAGGGGTTTTGGAGTGTGGATGGATATAGTTGTAATTTAATACAGGTTAATTGTTGTTTGGATTATTGTAGTGTGATTAAGTGAGGGAAAGTATGTTATGGAGATTATATATAATTAGTTGGGTGGAATTAATATGATGTAATATTATAGGTGTTGGGTTGATATTGGGGTAATTATTTTAGAAGGGGGGCATGTTAGAATGGTAAGGGGTATGGTACAAAAAATTTTTTGATTGGGATGGGTGGTATGAAATTTGAATGTGGAATTTGGAGAAAGTAAAAGGATATGAAATATAAAGAATAGATGGTATGGTGTGATGTGGTGATGGTGGGTGTGAGGTAAGAGATGGGTGGAATGAGTGTGGTAGGTATTTTAGGTGAGTTTGTGGTATGTGGGGGATTTTTTGGGTATTGGTTGTTAGGGTATAATGGGGTGGGTTGAAGGGGAAGATTGAGAATGATATTAAATGTTGGGGGAGAGATATGAGGTAATATGATAAAATTGAGGAAGAGAAAATGTTGAATTGTTTTTAGATGAATAAGATTATATAAGTGGGTGAATATGTTATGAAAAAAAATAAGATATGTAGGATAAGGGAAAATGGAAAAGAAGATAGACTAAAATTAAGATTAGTACATAATAAATATGTATACAACAAAAATGGTATTTTGATAAATAATGGTGTTAATGGGCAATAATGGTAAAAATGAATATTGAATATGATTGAAAGATAATATACAGTAACTATGATGTTGTGTGGAGGCCTTTATATACAATTTATAACTGAAGTTTTAAATAATCTTAATATATAGGTGGTTTGTTTAACATTATTGTTTTCTTTTTTTTATTAGTTTTACTTTATTAGGTATTTTGTTGTGGTTGGGGATTTTGGTTTGTAGATATTATTTTTTTTGTTGAGGTTTATTGGTTTTTGATAGTTTGGGTTTATATTGGTGTGAAGACTGGGAATTTTAGTTTATAAGGATAAGAAAGTATGGGAGTAGAGGTAAAAAAAGAAAAGATTTGATAAGGCGGTGGATAAATTATTAAATATATAATATAATTATGTAACTGTATTGATGAATAAGTTTGTTTATGTAATAATATAAAGTATAACATTATTTTATTTGTTTTAAAACGTGGATAGGATAAGCGGATGGATGTGTGGAGGGGGTATTGGTGGATATGAGTATTATGTGTTATGATTATAATTAATGTTCTAGATGGTAAGGGATTGGAATTAGGATAATTAGTTGTTTAAATAAGGAGGGGTTGTAAAATATAATTTAATATAATTTTTAATTTTTGATTTTAATATTGAATTGGGGAGAGTTTTTGTGCAGGTTGATTATGGTGAGGGTGTAATTAGTAAGGGTTTTAGGGTTCGAATGTGTATAGATGTATTATGTGTTATGGGGTATTGTTTTTAGTTTTAGTTTTTGAGGTTTTATTGAAGGGATAGGGGTTTAGTAGGTGTTGTGTTTTTTATCTAAGTGTTTATTGTATGGGAGGGGTAGGGTGGGGATGGGGAGGTTTGGTGAGGAAAAATTAAGTAGGGAGGGGGGGGATATTGGATAGAGAGAGGGGGGTAGATTTTTGTGGTGGGGGGGATATTTGTATTGTAATTTTTGGAGGTTGGGAAGGGATAGTGTGGGTGTTGGTGGTTTGTTGTTGGTTTTAGAAGTGTTTATGTTTGTGTGGGGGTGGGGTGAGGGGAGTGAGATTGGGGGAAGGTTAACTGAGGGATGGGTGAATAGGATGGGGGTTTTTATTATATGAGGGGAGTGAATTGGGAAGTGAGGGATGGTGGGGGTAGTGTGGGGGGAAGGTTGTGTTTTGTTGGTTAAGGGTTTTAGGGTGGGTTTGTATGGATTGATGGGGTAGGGATAGGAGGGGAGGGGTGGAAGTTTTTTTGGGGATTTTTTTTTTTTTTTTGTTTGTGGTGTTAGGTATGGTGTGGTTTAGTGGAGTATGGATATGGGGTTGTGATTTGGAAGGTTTGAGGTTGGTGGGGGGGTATTGAAAGTAGGATAAGTAGAATATAGGGTGTATGGGGGGAGGGGGGGAAGGGGGGATTGGGTATAAGGTTGAAAATAGGGGAAATTGAAAAATATGGTTTGTGATGGGAGAAGGGGTAAGATAATAAGGAATTGGTGGATGATGGGGTGGGAGGGAGATGGGTTATGGGTGAAAGAGGTATGGGGAATTAAAAGGTAAATGTTTTGTTTGGGTTGTTTGGGTGGTGGTTTTAGTGGGGTGTGTTAATGATTAAGGGGGGTGGTGAGGGGTTATGGGTGTGGGGGGGGGTTTGGGGTGATTAGGGTTAGGGGGGTTTATGTGAATTATATGGATATTATTGTGGGTTAAGGGGTTAGGGGGAGGGGTTTGATTATAGGGGGGGGGTTTGGATTAGAAGGGGGGGGGGGTGTGTTAGTAGGGGGAGGGGTGGATGTTTGTAGGGGTGGGTATGGGGTTGGGGGTTGGGTTTATAGGGGGGGGGTTGAGATTGGGTTTAGGGGGAATGTGTTTTTATTTGTATTGGGTGGGGGGGGGTGTTGTTAGATAGGTTGGTGTGTGGTGATTAATGGGGGGGATGATTGGTATATTAGGGATAGGGATTTGTAGATTATGATTTGGATAGGGATTTGTAAAAGGGGGGGGGGGGGGGATGGGTAAGTAGATGGGGGTAGATATGTGGTTTGGGGGTGATGGGGAGTGGTGGGGTTTGTGATTGGGTGAATTTGGGGAAGGGATTGGAGGAGGGGGTGAAGGAGGAGAGAAGGAGGGTTATAATTGGAAGAATTGATGTGATGTTTGGGTGGGGTGGGGGGGGTGGGGTTTATGGGGGGTGTTTGGGTGGGTGGGGATGGGAGGGTGTATGGTGATGGGGGTTGTGGGGGGGTTGTATATTTGTGTTATTTATTTGGGGGTGTAGGGGGAAGGTTATGTTATTTGATTGGGTTTGTTGAATTGGGGGGGTTGTTTGGGGGGGGGGGGGTGGTGGTATAGTGTAGGGGGAAAGTGTTTGATGGGTTTAGGTTTTAGTGTAAGGTTTGGGGGTGGGGGGTGGTTGTTAGGGAGGGTGTTGTGTTTTGGTGTGTAGGGTTGGGGAGGGGGTGTGTTTATAGGGTTTGTTTTTGTTTGGGTTTTTTGTGGGGGGATTTATGGGTTTTGATGTGTGTGGTTGGGATTGTTTTGGTATTGGTTGGTTTATGTAGATTGTGGTGGTGGGGGGGGGGGAGGATGTGGATTGTTGGTTTGGTTGGGGGGGGGGTATGAAGGTATTGTGGGGGGTTGGGGGGGTTGGGGTTGTTGTTGTGGTTGTTGTTGTTATTGTTATGGGGGGGGGGTTTGAATATGGGTGGGGTTGAGATTTTATTGGATATGGGATGGTGAGGGATAGATTGTTTATGGGGGGTGTTTTAGTGTGTAGGTTTTTTGGAGTTTATGGGGATATAGTATGGTGGTGTGGAGTTAATGATGGGAATGAAGAAAGAATAATAATTAATTAAGGATATATTATATTTTGTAGATGGATTATTAATATGGGGGTGTGGGTATGATGAGGAAAGAAATTAGGGGGATAAGGGGGATTGGGGGAATGGTATGGGGGGGGGGGGGGTGGGATGGGGGGGGGGGGGGGGTGGGGGGGGGGGGGGGGGGGGGGGGGGGGGGTGGTGGGGGGGGGGGGGGGGGGGGGGGGGGGGGGGGGGGGGGGGAGATTTTGTTATGTTGTTTGTAAAATGAAAGGGGTGTTGGAGGTGGGGGTGGATTTTTGGGTTTTAGGGGGGGAGGTGGGATTTTTTTGGGGTATTGGTTTTTTTGGAGGTTTTGTGGGGGGGGGGGGGGGGGAGGGTTGGGGGGAGGTGTGTGAAGTGGGGTTTTAATTATGTGTGATGGGGTATGTATAGGGGGGGGGGGGGGGGGGTTTATTGGGGTTTGTGGGTTGGGGTGGTTATGTTTGGTTGTGTTGGTATTTTGGGGGGATTGTGAGGGTATTGGGTGGGGGATGTTGTGGGTGGGGGATGGGGGGGTTGAAGATTGGTGTGGGTTGTGTTAGTTGTGGAATATGTATGGGTTATTGGGGGGGGTGTGGGGATAGGGATGGGGGGGGGGGGTTATGGGTGGAAGGGTTGTGGTTATGTATGTGGATAGAATGATAGAAGAGGGTAGTTATTTGGGGGAAATTTTTGGGGGAGGTATTGGGTGGTGATTTTTGGGAAGAGGGAGGGGTTTAGGTTTTTTGATGAGGAATGGAGGGAATGAATATATTAAAATGGAGGGGTTTTATGGGTAGGATTTGTGGATATTTATGGGGGTTAGAGTTTGGGAATGAATGAATGGAATGGGGAGGGGGAAGTGTTGAAGGATGGGGGGAGGGGGGGGGGGATGGGATGTGGTGAATAAATTGGAAGATGTGATAATGAAAAAATAGGGTAAAGAGGGATGGGGGGGGGGGGGGTAAATATGTGGATTAGGAGGAGGAGGTGGGGGTATGTGGAAGGGTATGTATGAGGGGATGGGGATTTGGGGGGGTTGGGGGAGGGAAATGTATATATAGGATGATGGATGATGGGGGTGTGGTTGGGGTGTTTGGGATTGTGGGATTTGTTAAAATAGTAAGGATGGAAAGAATTGGGAATTGGAGAGTAATTAGGTAGTATGTAGAAAAATTTAGTGTAATTATTGTGGGGTTTGGGGGGTAAATGAAGGGTTTGTAGGGGGAGGGGGTTGGGGGAGTTGGAGGGGGAAGGGGGAATAAAAAATTTTTTGGAAGGGTGGGGATTTGATGGGATGGGTGGAATAGGGGGGTTAGGGTGTAAAAAAAATATGGGGGGGGGGTATTGAAGTGATGTGGAGGTGTGTGTGGTAAAGGTTTGTGGTTAAGTATAATTTATATTAATATATATTGTTGAGTGATGTTTTAGAAAAAATGTGTAATTATGGGTTTAGATGATGGGGTATGGTGATTTTATAAGGATTGTTGGGGTTTGTTATTTTATTTTATATGTATAAATGTATTTTATTGATGGCAATTGTAAATTTTAAATGGATGTATAGAAGTTGTTTGTTAATAGGGGATGTTGTTATGTGAAGGTAGTAGGGTATGTGGTTTGGTTTGGAGGGGTAAGAGGTGTTTAATTTATTGAAATTTGTGATGTATGGGTTTGATGTGATATATTTATATATGGGAGGATGGTTTTAAGGGGGGATAGATATGAAAGAGGGTGGATGATGGGTATTTTTGATGAAGATATGGTGTGGGGGGGAGAAGAGGATGAGTATGGTGTTTGTGAGATGAGTGGTTGTGTTTATTGTGTAATATTTGGTTAAGGGGTGATGGGGGGGATGGGGGGGGGGGTGGGGGGGGTGGGGGTGGGAGAATTGAGGTGAAGGTTAAGTAAGAGTAGGGGAGGGATTTATTTGGGAAGGGTATGGTATGGATATAAGGGTAGAGTGGTATGGGAGAGTGTTTGGGAAGGATGGTTAATGGTTTTTTAGTTGGGTGAAGTTTGGAGAGGTTTGGGATAGTGGGAGGGTTAAGTGGGGAAGAGGGATTTGAAAATAGTAAAGGATAGTTGATATTGGGTATATAGGTGGGGTGATGTACTTGGAGATAGGTTGTGGGGGGAGGAATGTTATTTGGATGATTGTAGTTTGGTTGTGGGAGGGGTGGGGTGGGAAAATGATGACGATGAAAATGTTTTTAGTGTAAGTAGATGAGGGTTATAAGTGTGGGGGGGGGTGGAGGTGGAGATTGTATGGGTTAATGGGGGTGGTTAGGTTGTGTTGTGATGAAAAGAATATTGTGAATGGGGTATATGATATTTAAGGTGTGTTGGGGATGAGTTTGGATAAGGAGTAATATGTAATAGATGATGTATATTTTTTGTTTTTTTAGGTGTATTTGGGAGAGTTTTGTAATAAAGTTGTTTTTGGAGGGTTGTTTATTGTGTTAGATAAGGAGATATGGGTGTAAAGATTTTATTATATTTATTTAATTGTAGATAAGAGGTGATAGGTTGTTGGTGGTGTTAGGTATGGAAGTTTTTTATGTGAATATTGATGAGTTAAGAGAGATGAAGAGGAATATTATTGTGATGATTTGGGTGATAGGGGTTAGAATAGAGATTTTGTTAAATTTTATGTTAGTTTAATGGTTATTTAATGGGGAGGTGTTGGGGGGTATGGAGGTTTGTTATGGGGAGGGTTAAGTGGGAGAGTGGAGGGGTTTTGGGAAGGATTATAATTGGTAAGGAGGATGATGATATAGAAGAAATAGGAGGGGTGTGGAGATAATTAATGGTAGTATGTGGTAATATGGGGGGGATTGGGGGTTGGTTATAGATTGGTGTAGGGTGGTTGTCGGTTGATTGGGTTGGGTTGTTAATGTAGGGGGGGGGTTTTGGGGGGTTGTTTTTGTAAAGAGTATGGGGTAATTGGGGATAAATGGAGGATTTGGGGGGGGTATGATATGTGTAAAGAGATGTTGGGGAGATGGAAATAAAGAGTGAGGGTTTGGGGGGGGTTGGAAAGAAGGTGAGGTAAAAATAAGAAAAGTGGAGAAAAGAATAGTTAAGGGGTGATCTGGATGGTGTAGGTGTTAATTTAGTTTTATTACATGGGAGGAGGGGGATAGATTTGGTTAGGGTGTGAGGAGAGATTATGTGGTATTGGAGAGGAAGGATTGGGGAATTTTTTTTAATAGATTTGAGAGTGGGGATGGTAAATGTGAATGAGGAGGGGGTTTTGATTTTGTGGGGGGGGATGAGGATATGAGTGATGTGGTTTGGTGTGTATGAGGGGGGGAATGGGGAGATATAGGGGGGAGGGGTGGTTTGGGAAGAGGAAATAGTAGGGGGAAGGAAGAGTGTTATTATTGGGGGGGGGGTGAAGAGGGTGGTATAGGGGGTTTGGGGATGGTGTGAAGGGGAGGGGAGGGGGGGTTGATGAGGGGTATAAGGGATTGAGAAGAAGGAGTTTAGGGGAATATTTATGTAATTTGTGGTTATGGTGGTTGGGTGGTGTGTGGTGTGTTATTTAGGTTATGGGAGGTTGGGGGGGGAGTAGGAGTTAGAGGTTATATGGGGTTTATAGGAAGATAATAGGGGGGGGGGTGGGGGGGTAGGAGGGGTGGGTTGGGGGGAATGTGATTGATTGGTATAATGGGGGGGGGGATGGATGGGTTTGTAATTGTGTAATGATGGTTGTGGGGGAAGGGACGGGGAGGGGGTTTTTTATTTTGAGAAGTTGGTTGGGGGTGATTTTATGAGTAGATGATATGTTGAATATGGAGTTGTATGTTTGGAGGGTTTAGGTTGGGGTTGATAGGGGTGGGTAAAGGGGGTGATGGGGTTGGTTTAGGGAGAGATGTGTGGGGGGGGGGGGGGTGGAATGATGAGGGTTTATGATGAGTGGGAATTTGGAAGAGGGATATGGGGGGGGGTGTGGGGGGTGTATGGAATGGTAGGGGTAGGGGGGGAGGGAGTGAGGGTTTGGGGTATGGGGATGGTTGGGGATGGGGGTGGGTATGGGTTAATTAATTGATGTGTGGTTGGGGGGTTAATGTGGTTTTAGGGTGGGTGGTGGGTTTGTGAGTGGAATTGTATGATGGATGTTGGGATAGAGGTTAATTATTGGTTGGGGAGGTTAATTGATAGAGGGGATTTTGATTAATGAAGATTATGATAAGAGGAGAGGAGGATGGTGGTTGGGGGGGGGGGGTTTTGTTTGTGGGGGGGAATGTTATTTTTGATTAGATTTAGGGAGTTGAGTTAAGTTGTTGGATTGTAAATGTGGATTTAGTTGGTAGTTTGGTATGGGGAGAGATTTGGGGGGGTGAAGAGTATAAAGGGGGAAAGGTGGTAGAGGATGGGGGAAAGGAGGGTTATATTTTTTTTTTTTTTGTGTTTGTGGGTGTTTGTGTTTTTGGTTTGGGTTGGGGTGTTGGGGGGGGGGGTTGTGGTTTTGTGGGGGGTTATGGTGGGGTAGGTTGTTGAATAGGTTGAATGTGGGTGGTATTGGTTTGGTGAAGTGGAGGGAAATTATTTTTTGTTAATGTTGTGAAGTTGAGGTTGGGGGGAGGAGGTGGGTGGTGGGGGGGGGGAATAGATTAAATGATTTGGGGGGTTGGGAAGAGGGTGTAGTAGTGTGGGTGGGTTGGAGGAGTTTGGTATTTTATTGGTTTGAAATATATGTTAATGGTTTTGTTGGAGAATTGAATAATGGATTTGAGTAGAGTGTGATGGGGGGTATGAGTAGGGAGGATGTTGAAGGAGGATAGGGGTGAGAGAAAGAAGGGGTCAGGATGTGATATGGAGAAAATAAATAAGAATAAGTAAGTGACGGGCAAGAAGAGTATGGTTGATGTATATTTGATTAGGGGGGAAAATAAAAGAAAGGATAAGGAAATATAAGAAAAAAAAAGATATTAAGAGATGTTGTATTTAATGTTGGTATGAAATTAAAAAAGGATGTAGAAAGATAAATGGATTATGGATTGATATATAATATGTGAGATGTAGTTTTATAGTAGAGGGGGGTGGTTGGTGAGGAGTTAGGTATTAATTGGGGGGGGAAGGTTAAGTTTAGGGGAGGGTTTGTTATATATAAAGTATATTGGAATAGGGTTCGAAGCAGGGGTGAATGTACGAGGAATATGAATAGATTAAATGTAGAGGGATTATTTTGTGTGGGTTTTGAGGGTAGTTTAATGGAAAAGAAGATGAAGGTTGATATGTAAGTTGTTAGAAAAATATGGGGGGGATTGGTTGATTGGGATGGGGGGGTGTTTATTTATGTTTTGGGGGGTTGATGGGTGAGGTTCGTGAGTTTAAATAAGTTGTTGATGATAATGATTGAGTGTTGTTAATGTTTTGGTAAGGTTGTTATGGTAAAGGGGTATGGATTAATATGGGTTGGGTGGGTTGATTGTGTGTGGGTATGGGGGATGTAGGAAGAGGTGGGGTAATTGGGGTGAGTGGGGGGGAGGTGATTGTGATGGGGGGGGTTAGGGGGGGTGGAGGGTTGTTGAGTATTTGGGTTAATTGGGGTTTGGGGTATGTGGATATGGGGGTGTTTTGTTAGGGGGGTTGTTTTTTGTGGTTGGGTGGGGTTTGAAATTATGGGTGAAGTTGTGGGGTTTTTGGTGATTTGAGGGTTTTTAGTGTGGGATAGATGATGGAATAGTGGGGGTGGGGGGGAGTTGTGGAGTAATGGGATTGGAAAGGTATTTGTTTTGTTGTTTGTTTGTTGTGTTTTTTTTTGTAGGAGATGTGGAGGAATTTGTTTGTGGGTTTTATGGAGTGGGGTATTGAGTTGGATTGGTGGGGGGGTGTGTGGGTGTAGGGGGGAGGGGTGAGGAGTTTGGTTGGTTTTGGGGTGGGGTGGTTGGTTGGTTGGTGGAGTTGTGGTTAGTTGAATATTGTTGGTTATGATGGTGTTATTATTGGGGTTTGGTGGGGAAGGATTTAGGGGGAGTATAAGAGATAGAGAAGAAGAGAGGATTGTTGAAGGGTTAGTTGTAAGGGGAGGTGTGGGGAGTAGTGGGTGTGGAAGGGGATAAATGGGGAAGGGGGTGGGGAAGAAGGGGGTACAGGTGGAAAAGTAATAGTGATAGAGATTAATATATTATGGTGTGGTTTTTGTGTAGAGGGTTGGTTTAAGGTGTTAAAGGTGGTTTATTATATGGAAATGGTGTTATTGATTTATAATGGATGTTTGTAAATGATCAGAAAGGTAGTAGTATAAAGGTAAGTATGGCATGTGTGGAGTGTGTGAGTAGGGATTGAATAAGGGAAGGATTTGGTTATTTTGTGTGTGTTAGTTGGTATTTAATGGGATTTGTTAAAATAGTTTTATTTATTTTAGTTTGTTTGTTTATTAGATTTTATTGAGATGTATTTGTTTATTGTTTTATTTTCTTAATCTAATATAGTATTTTGATGGTTATTGTGGTGTATTTATATTAATTGTGGGGGATATTGTAATGATTGTTTTGTTAGTTTGATTTTTTATTTTGGATGTGTTTTGATGGTATGTGTGGATAGTATTAAGAAATTTAAATGATTGGTGTTCAGGTGGGAGATGATTTATTGTGTTTAATAGATTTTGATAATTTTATAATATTGTAAATAATGGGGGGGAATGGATTATAGTATTTTGATTGATTAGTAAGGTTTTTAGGTAATTGTTTAATAAGGGATTTGGTATTTGTGTGTTATTTGGGGTAATTTTGTGGTGTGAGTTTATGTTGATTTAATGTTGATTTATAAGATTGGTGTTGTATATCTTGTTAATGGGTAATTTTGAGATGTGGTAAATTGGATGTGTGTTGGGTGATTTTAATGTTTGGGGGGTGTTGGGGGGGTGGTGAAGGTGATGATGGGAATGGAGGGAGGAAAAGTGGGGAGGTGAGGATTTGGAAAGGGGGGGGGGTAAGTGAAAGGTTATATATATGAGGATAGGGAGGGGGTGTGAAGAAGAAAATAGGTTATATGAGGTTGGAGATTATTTGGGGAGGATGGTGGTAAGTGAGGATGGAGGGAGGGATATGGGTTGGGTTTGATGGGAAAAGATTTGGGGTGGAAAGGGGAGGGGGTTGAGTGTTGGGTTGTGAGGGGTGAGGGGAGAGGGGAAGGAATGGGAGTGTGGAAATTTGTATGAGTGTTGGTTAGGAATTTTGGTGTAAGGTTAGAAAAGAATATGAAGAATAATGTGGAGGGGTTGTGTAGGTGAAGAGGGGGAGGGGTGGGAGGGGGGAATGGGTGTGGGGTGGTTGTTGGGTGGGTTGGTGGGGTGGTTGAGAAGGGTGGGGGGTGGGGGAGGGGGGGGAAGGGGTTGGGAAGGGGGGGGAAATGGGGAGGGGGGTTTGGGAGGGTTTGTGAGGAGGTAATGATAGAGAGGGGAGGGGTGGGGGGAGTAGGGGGGAGAGGAGGGTAATGGAAGGAAGTGAGGGAATGGATGTATTGATGAGGTTTGTATGTGTGTTGTGTATAGGGGAGAGAGTGTTTGGGGATGGGTGGGTTGGGGGAATTTTGTAAGGTAGGGGGGGGATTTAAGGGGTTTGTAATGTGATGAAATGAAATTTAGATGGTTATAAGTGAAAAAGGTTTTTGGGGGAGGTAGGGGAGAGAGGGAATAATTTTGTTGTTAATTGTTGTATTATGGTTGTTGTGAAGAGGAGGGGTGGGGTGGGGGGGTTTGTGAAGAGGAGTATTTATGGGGGTTGTATTTTTGGCAGAGACTGGTATGGGAGACTGAGGCAGAGACTGAGGCAGAGACTGAAGGGCAGAGACTGAAGCAGAGACTGAAGAAGAGACTGAGGCAGAGACTGAAGCAGAGACTGAAGCAGAGACTGAAGCAGAGACTGAGGCAGAGACTGAAGCAGAGGACTGAGGCAGAGACTGAAGCAGAGACTGAGGCAGAGACTGAAGCAGAGACTGAAGCAGAGACTGAAGCAGAGACTGAAGCAGAGACTGAGGCAGAGACTGAAGCAGAGACTGAAGCAGAGACTGAAGCAGAGACTGAGGCAGAGACTGAGGCAGAGACTGAAGCAGAGACTGAGGCAGAGACTGAAGCAGAGACTGAGCAGAGACTGAAGCAGAGACTGAGGCAGAGACTGAGGCAGAGACTGAAGCAGAGACTGAAGGCAGAGACTGAGCAGAGACTGAAGCAGAGACTGAGGCAGAGACTGAGGCAGAGACTGAGGCAGAGACTGAAGCAGAGACTGAGGCAGAGACTGAAGCAGAGACTGAGGCAGAGACTGAAGCAGAGACTGAGGAAGAGACTGAAGCAGAGACTGAGGCAGAGACTGAAGCAGAAGACTGAAGCAGAGACTGAAGCAGAGACTGAGGCAGAGACTGAAGCAGAGACTGAGGCAGAGACTGAAGCAGAGACTGAAGCAGAGACTGAAGCAGAGACTGAGGCAGAGACTGAAGCAGAGACTGAAGCAGAGACTGAAGCAGAGACTGAGGCAAGAGACTGAGCAGAGACTGAAGCAGAGACTGAAGCAGAGACTGAAGCAGAGACTGAGGCAGAGACTGAGGCAGAGACTGAAGCAGAGACTGAGGCAGAGACTGAGGCAGAGACTGAAGCAGAGACTGAAGCAGAGACTGAAGCAGAGACTGAAGCAGAGACTGAAGCAGAGACTGAAGCAGAGACTGAGGCAGAGACTGAGGCAGAGACTGAAGCAGAGACTGAGGCAGAGACTGAGGCAGAGACTGAAGCAGAGACTGAAGCAGAGACTGAGGCAGAGACTGAAGCAGAGACTGAAGCAGAGACTGAAGCAGAGACTGAAGCAGAGACTGAGGCAGAGACTGAGGCAGAGACTGAAGCAGAGACTGAAGCAGAGACTGAAGCAGAGACTGAAGCAGAGACTGAAGCAGAGGCTGAGGCAGAGACTGAAGCAGAGACTGAGGCAGAGACTGAGCAGAGACTGAGGCATAGACTGAAGCAGAGACTGAGGCAGAGACTGAAGCAGAGACTGAAGCAGAGACTGAGGCAGAGACTGAGGCAGAGACTGAAGCAGAGACTGAAGCAGAGACTGAAGCAGAGACTGAGGCAGAGACTGAAGCAGAGACTGAGGCAGAGACTGAAGCAGAGACTGAAGCAGAGACTGAAGCAGAGACTGAGGCAGAGACTGAAGCAGAGACTGAAGCAGAGACTGAAGCAGAGACTGAAGCAGAGACTGAGGCAGAGACTGAAGCAGAGACTGAAGCAGAGACTGAAGCAGAGACTGATGCAGAGACTGAAGCAGAGACTGAGGCAGAGACTGAAGCAGAGACTGAAGCAGAGACTGAAGCAGAGACTGAGCAGAGACTGAAGCAGAGACTGAAGCAGAGACTGAAGCAGAGACTGAGGCAGAGACTGAGGCAGAGACTTAAGCAGAGACTGAGGCAGAGACTGAGGCAGAGACTGAGGCAGAGACTGAGGCAGAGACTGAGACAGAGACTGAAGCAGAGACTGAAGCAGAGACTGAGGCAGAGACTGAAGCAGAGACTGAGGCAGAGACTGAAGCAGAGACTGAGGCAGAGACTGAAGCAGAGACTGAAGCAGAGACTGAAGCAGAGACTGAAGCAGAGACTGAAGCAGAGACTGAAGCAGAGACTGAGGCAGAGACTGAGGCAGAGACTGAAGCAGAGACTGAGGCAGAGACTGAGGCAGAGACTGAAGCAGAGACTGAAGTAGAGACTGAGGCAGAGACTGAAGCAGAGACTGAAGCAGAGACTGAAGCAGAGACTGAGGCAGAGACTGAAGCAGAGACTGAGGCAGAGACTGAAGCAGAGACTGAGGCAGAGACTGAAGCAGAGACTGAAGCAGAGACTGAAGCAGAGACTGAAGCAGAGACTGAGGCAGAGACTGAAGCAGAGACTGAAGCAGAGACTGAAGCAGAGACTGAGGCAGAGACTGAGGCAGAGACTGAAGCAGAGACTGAGGCAGAGACTGAAGCAGAGACTGAAGCAGAGACTGAAGCAGAGACTGAGGCAGAGACTGAGGCAGAGACTGAAGCAGAGACTGAGGCAGAGACTGAAGCAGAGACTGAGGCAGAGACTGAGGCAGAGACTGAGGCAGAGACTGAAGCAGAGACTGAGGCAGAGACTGAAGCAGAGACTGAGGCAGAGACTGAAGCAGAGACTGAGGCAGAGACTGAAGCAGAGACTGAAGCAGAGACTGAAGCAGAGACTGAGGCAGAGACTGAATCAGAGACTGAGGCAGAGACTGAAGCAGAGACTGAAGCAGAGACTGAAGCAGAGACTGAGGCAGAGACTGAAGCAGAGACTGAAGCAGAGACTGAAGCAGAGACTGAGGCAGAGACTGAGGCAGAGACTGAAGCAGAGACTGAAGCAGAGACTGAAGCAGAGACTGAGGCAGAGACTGAGGCAGAGACTGAAGCAGAGACTGAGGCAGAGACTGAGGCAGAGACTGAAGCAGAGACTGAGGCAGAGACTGAAGCAGAGACTGAAGCAGAGACTGAAGCAGAGACTGAAGCAGAGACTGAGGCAGAGACTGAAGCAGAGACTGAAGCAGAGACTGAAGCAGAGACTGAGGCAGAGACTGAGGCAGAGACTGAAGCAGAGACTGAGGCAGAGACTGAAGCAGAGACTGAAGCAGAGACTGAAGCAGAGACTGAGGCAGAGACTGAGGCAGAGACTGAAGCAGAGACTGAGGCAGAGACTGAAGCAGAGACTGAGGCAGAGACTGAGGCAGAGACTGAGGCAGAGACTGAAGCAGAGACTGAGGCAGAGACTGAAGCAGAGACTGAGGCAGAGACTGAAGCAGAGACTGAGGCAGAGACTGAAGCAGAGACTGAAGCAGAGACTGAAGCAGAGACTGAGGCAGAGACTGAATCAGAGACTGAGGCAGAGACTGAAGCAGAGACTGAAGCAGAGACTGAAGCAGAGACTGAGGCAGAGACTGAAGCAGAGACTGAAGCAGAGACTGAAGCAGAGACTGAGGCAGAGACTGAGGCAGAGACTGAGGCAGAGACTGAAGCAGAGACTGAAGTAGAGACTGAGGCAGAGACTGAAGCAGAGACTGAAGCAGAGACTGAAGCAGAGACTGAGGCAGAGACTGAAGCAGAGACTGAGGCAGAGACTGAAGCAGAGACTGAGGCAGAGACTGAAGCAGAGACTGAAGCAGAGACTGAAGCAGAGACTGAAGCAGAGACTGAGGCAGAGACTGAAGCAGAGACTGAAGCAGAGACTGAAGCAGAGACTGAGGCAGAGACTGAGGCAGAGACTGAAGCAGAGACTGAGGCAGAGACTGAAGCAGAGACTGAAGCAGAGACTGAAGCAGAGACTGAGGCAGAGACTGAGGCAGAGACTGAAGCAGAGACTGAGGCAGAGACTGAAGCAGAGACTGAGGCAGAGACTGAGGCAGAGACTGAGGCAGAGACTGAAGCAGAGACTGAGGCAGAGACTGAAGCAGAGACTGAGGCAGAGACTGAAGCAGAGACTGAGGCAGAGACTGAAGCAGAGACTGAAGCAGAGACTGAAGCAGAGACTGAGGCAGAGACTGAATCAGAGACTGAGGCAGAGACTGAAGCAGAGACTGAAGCAGAGACTGAAGTAGAGACTGAGGCAGAGACTGAAGCAGAGACTGAAGCAGAGACTGAAGCAGAGACTGAGGCAGAGACTGAGGCAGAGACTGAAGCAGAGACTGAAGCAGAGACTGAAGCAGAGACTGAGGCAGAGACTGAGGCAGAGACTGAAGCAGAGACTGAGGCAGAGACTGAGGCAGAGACTGAAGCAGAGACTGAAGCAGAGACTGAAGCAGAGACTGAAGCAGAGACTGAAGCAGAGACTGAGGCAGAGACTGAGGCAGAGACTGAAGCAGAGACTGAGGCAGAGACTGAGGCAGAGACTGAAGCAGAGACTGAAGCAGATACTGAGGCAGAGACTGAAGCAGAGACTGAAGCAGAGACTGAAGCAGAGACTGAAGCAGAGACTGAGGCAGAGACTGAGGCAGAGACTGAAGCAGAGACTGAAGCAGAGACTGAAGCAGAGACTGAAGCAGAGGCTGAGGCAGAGACTGAAGCAGAGACTGAGGCAGAGACTGAGGCAGAGACTGAGGCAGAGACTGAGGCAGAGACTGAAGCAGAGACTGAAGCAGAGACTGAAGCAGAGACTGAGGCAGAGACTGAAGCAGAGACTGAGGCAGAGACTGAAGCAGAGACTGAAGCAGAGACTGAAGCAGAGACTGAGGCAGAGACTGAAGCAGAGACTGAAGCAGAGACTGAAGCAGAGACTGAAGCAGAGACTGAGGCAGAGACTGAAGCAGAGACTGAAGCAGAGACTGAAGCAGAGACTGATGCAGAGACTGAAGCAGAGACTGAGGCAGAGACTGAAGCAGAGACTGAAGCAGAGACTGAAGCAGAGACTGAAGCAGAGACTGAAGCAGGGACTGAAGCAGAGACTGAAGCAGAGACTGAAGCAGAGACTGAGGCAGAGACTGAAGCAGAGACTGAAGCAGAGACTGAGGCAGAGACTGAGGCAGAGACTGAAGCAGAGACTGAAGCAGAGACTGAAGCAGAGACTGAGGCAGAGACTGAAGCAGAGACTGAAGCAGAGACTGAGGCAGAGACTGAGGCAGAGACTGAGGCAGAGACTGAAGCAGAGACTGAAGCAGAGACTGAAGCAGAGACTGAGGCAGAGACTGAAGCAGAGACTGAAGCAGAGACTGAGGCAGAGACTGGAGACAGAGACTGAGGCAGAGACTGAAGCAGAGACTGAGGCAGAGACTGAGACAGAGACTGAAGCAGAGACTGAAGCAGAGACTGAGGCAGAGACTGAGGCAGAGACTGAGACAGAGACTGAAGCAGAGACTGAAGCAGAGACTGAAGCAGAGACTGAGGCAGAGACTGAGGCAGAGACTGAAGCAGAGACTGAAGCAGAGACTGAAGCAGAGACTGAGGCAGAGACTGGAGCAGAGACTGAAGCAGAGACTGAAGCAGAGACTGAAGCAGAGACTGAGGCAGAGACTGAGCAGAGACTGAAGCAGAGACTGAGCAGAGACTGAGCAGAGACTGAGGCAGAGACTGAAGCAGAGACTGAGGCAGAGACTGAGGCAGAGACTGAAGCAGAGACTGAAGCAGAGACTGAAGCAGAGACTGAAGGCAGAGACTGAAGCAGAGACTGAAGCAGAGACTGAGGCAGAGACTGGAGACAGAGACTGAGGCAGAGACTGAAGCAGAGACTGAGGCAGAGACTGAGACAGAGACTGAAGCAGAGACTGAGGCAGAGACTGAAGCAGAGACTGAGAGAGACTGAGGCAGAGACTGAGGCAGAGACTGAGCGGCGAGAGCAGAGACTGAAGCAGAGACTGAAGCAGAGACTGAAGCAGAGACTGAGCAGAGACGAGCAGAGACTGAAGCAGAGACTGAGGCAGAGACTGAGCAGAGACTGAGCCAGAGAGCAGAGACTGAGAGACTGAGAGCAAGACTGAAGCAGAGACTGAAGCAGAGACTGAAGCAGAGACTGAGGCAGAGACTGAGGCAGAGACTGAAGCAGAGACTGAAGCAGAGACTGAGGCAGAGACTGAAGCAGAGACTGAAGCAGAGACTGAAGCAGAGACTGAGGCAGAGACTGAGGCAGAGACTGAAGCAGAGACTGAGGCAGAGACTGAGGCAGAGACTGAGACAGAGACTGAGGCAGAGACTGAAGCAGAGACTGAGGCAGAGACTGAGGCAGAGACTTAAGAATATCAGAAATAACCAGTTCTAAAAACATGCAAGAATCTCTGAAAAAAACGACTGGAGCAAAAACAGATGAAGAAAAGCTGAAGGTTTGGACCAAAGTTTTCTGTGGATTATAAATAACTAACAGTCACGGCTCTTTGTGCTCAACTTTCATTATTCACGTTCACAGTTTTTAAAGAACCAATGAGACGCTTCACATGGTTTGTTCTGGATTCTGGTTCCTCAGGAGGTTCTCAGGAGTTCCTCAGGAGGTTCTCAGGAGGTTCTCAAGAGGTCCTCAGGAGTTCCTCAGGAGGTCCTCAGGAGTTCCTCAGGAGTTCCTCAGGAGGTTCTCAGGAGGTTCTCAGGAGGTTCTCAGGAGTTCCTCAGGAGTTCCTCAGGAGGTTCTCAGGAGTTCCTCAGGAGGTTCTCAGGAGTTCCTCAGGAGTTCCTCAGGAGGTTCTCAGGAGTTCCTCAGGAGGTTCTCAGGAGTTCCTCAGGAGTTCCTCAAGAGGTTCTCAGGAGTTCCTCAGGAGTTCCTCAGGAGGTTCTCAGGAGTTCCTCAGGAGTTCCTCAGGAGGTTCTCAGGAGTTCCTCAGGAGTTCCTCAGGAGGTTCTCAGGAGTTCCTCAGGAGGTTCTCAGGAGTTCCTCAAGAGGTTCTCAGGAGGTTCTCAGGAGGTTCTCAGGAGTTCCTCAGGAGGTTCTCAGGAGGTTCTCAGGAGTTCCTCAGGTGGCAGCGATGCCACAGTTCTTCAGGATGGGGCTGAAATGTGGAGCGTTGTTAACGATAGTTTCTCTGGGAGAGAAAGGCTTCATGGTGGACAGGATCAGAGCCAAACAATCTGCCACCTTCTTATTGGGAGCACAGGCCAGGGCTGGAGTCCGGCCTGGAAAACATGAGGTCATGGAAAACATGAGGTCATGGAAAACATGAGGTCATGGAAAACATGAGGTCATGGAAAACATGAGGTCATGGAGGGAGTGAGAGTGTGAGAGTGTGAGGCTAGTAGGGCATTTTTTTTCAAGTAAAATAAAAAAAGATTCTGAAGGTAAATGGAAAATCAAGGATCGAGAATAGATTGTAATCGAAAGCTCACTGCAGTCTATGGGTTAGACTCTACCCTAACTCTAACCTAGAGCACATTTCCACCTTAGACTGTGTCTAACTCTAACCTAGAGCACATTTCACCTTAGACTGTGTCTAACTCTAACCTAGAGCACATTTCCACCTTAGACTGTGTCTAACTCTAACCTAGAGCACATTTCACCTTAGACTGTGTCTAACTCTAACCTAGAGCACATTTCCACCTTAGACTGTGTCTAACTCTAACCTAGAGCACATTTCCACCTTAGACTGTGTCTAACTCTAACCTAGAGCACATTTCACCTTAGACTGTGTCTAACCCTAACCTAGAGCACATTTCCACCTTAGACCGTGTCTAACTCTAACCTAGAGCACATTTCCACCTTAGACTGTGTCTAACTCTAACCTAGAGCACATTTCACCTTAGACTGTGTCTAACTCTAACCTAGAGCACAGTTCCACCTGAGACTGTGTCTAACTCTAACCTAGAGCACATTTCCACCTTAGACTGTGTCTAACTCTAACCTAGAGCACAGTTCCACCTTAGACTGTGTCTAACTCTAACCTAGAGCACATTTCACCTTAGACTGTGTCTAACTCTAACCTAGAGCACATTTCCACCTTAGACTGTGTCTAACTCTAACCTAGAGCACATTTCCACCTTAGACTGTGTCTAACTCTAACCTAGAGCACATTTCCACCTTAGACTGTGTCTAACTCTAACCTAGAGCACAGTTCCACCTGAGACTGTGTCTAACTCTAATCTAGAGCACATTTCCACCTTAGACTGTGTCTAACCCTAACCTAGAGCACATTTCCACCTTAGACCGTGTCTAACTCTAACCTAGAGCACATTTCCACCTTAGACTGTGTCTAACTCTAACCTAGAGCACATTTCACCTTAGACTGTGTCTAACCCTAACCTAGAGCACATTTCCACCTTAGACCGTGTCTAACTCTAACCTAGAGCACATTTCCACCTTAGACTGTGTCTAACTCTAACTTAGAGCACATGTCACCGTGGACAGGGTTCTGTGGTTCTGACCTTCTCCGTCCACAGCCATCACGGCGGCTCCTCTGCTCAGTAAGACCTGCACCACCGTGGCCAGGCCGCGTCTCGCCGCGATGTGGAGCGGCCTGAAACAACAAACACGATGGGAACAGAGACATGGATTTGTATAAAGCACTTTTAAACCTACATCTGTAAAGTGTTGTTGGCTGCATTTATCAGAGCCGAGTCGTTGATCTCTCCCAATATCAACAACGCACACATCTCGTGACCCTGAGGACACAAAAACACCTCACACACAAATCATGGTTTTCTACAGAGTTTTAACAATTATCAATCCATCATTTAGTCAGAATATATATCTTATGTTTAAATTAGGGCTGTCAAAATTATTGCGTTAACGCACGTTAATTAATTTTTTTCATTAATTGCGTTAAAAAAATTAACGCATTTGACGCATGCCCATGCGTTCCATAATAACACTCAGAATGCCGCGGACACATGTGTGTGTAAGATGGGGACAAGTTTTGAAAGAACACACGCGTGACCGCGGGGCACTTGTTGTTTCCTGTATGAACTCTGCATGATGAGCTGCGGGCGCCACAGCGCTCTGGACAGCAGCACCACTTCCAGCGGCTGTGATCACGGTGAACGGCGCTGCGTAATGGGATCATATCCAAGACCACGCACAGAACTATTACAGAACTATTCTCTAGTGTGCGTACGTGTCTTTGCGTAACCGATGCACACAATATGTACGCGCAGAAGCTGGAGGAGCCTCGGTCTCCTCCGTGTCTTCTCCCGAAGCGCACTCGCTAAATTAAAGCTGAGGTACCTAATTTTCCCTTCGACCATCAGTTCATGTTGGTTGTGCCAAAAAAAGTAATGGTGTGAGCAAATCAAACAGATTTAATGACATTCTGCTTCAGACTGTTTTGAAATGTGCCTCATCTGTAACAAACAATGGTTTTGGTCTGAGTCTAAACAGAAAGACAGAATGTTAATAATGTTAATTCCATTTTATATGGATTTATTGTTATAACAAATACAGTTCATATGTTCACTAAGCTGTCATTTATCTTTCCATTCAAACAACAATTTACAGAAAAATATGGCATAATTTTGCCAATAGTTTGAAATGTGATTAATTACGATTAATTAATTTTTAAGCTGTAATTAACTCGATTAAAAAATTAATCGTTTGACAGCCCTAGTTTAAATGTTTGGCACAGAGCATCAATGTGAGAGAGTCAGTACATGTTTAGAACTATAGATGCAACTAAAGTCTTATACAGTCTAAGTTCATACGTTTATTTCAACCCCTGGAACTTGGCAAAAAGAGAAACTAAACTTTAAGTGTCTGTTGGAAAACTCAAAGCACCTCAACGATGTCAAAGGTTAGAACGCATTCAAATGATTGTTTTTGGATTTAGAAAAGAGCTGAAATTAGGACGATCCACGAGTCGCTCTCCCCAAACTACAATCGGAGAACCCCGCTGTGGAGGGTTACGGTTACAGTTACTAAACCCTGGATGTGACTAAACCCTGGATGTGACTGAACCCTGGACAGTGTGACTAAACCCTGGACAGTGTGACTAAACCCTGCACAGTGTGACCAAACCCTGGACAGTGTGACTAAACCCTGCACAGTGTGACTAAACCCTGGACAGTGTGACTAAACCCTGTATGTGACTGAACCCTGGACAGTGTGACTAAACCCTGCACAGTGTGACTAAACCCTGGACAGTGTGACTAAACCCTGGACAGTGTGACTAAACCCTGCACAGTGTGACTAAACCCTGGACAGTGTGACTAAACCCTGGACAGTGTGACTAAACCCTGGACAGTGTGACTAAACCCTGGACAGTGTGACTAAACCCTGCACAGTGTGACTAAACCCTGGACAGTGTGACTAAACCCTGCACAGTGTGACTGAACCCTGGACAGTGTGACTAAACCCTGGACAGTGTGACTAAACCCTGCACAGTGTGACTAAACCCTGGACAGTGTGACTAAACCCTGGACAGTGTGACTAAACCCTGGACAGTGTGACTAAACCCTGGACAGTGTGACTAAACCCTGGACAGTGTGACTAAACCCTGGACAGTGTGACTAAACCCTGGACAGTGTGACTAAACCCTGGACAGTGTGACTAAACCCTGGACAGTGTGACTAAACCCTGGACAGTGTGACTAAACCCTGGACAGTGTGACTAAACCCTGCACAGTGTGACTAAACCCTGGACAGTGTGACTAAACCCTGGACAGTGTGACTAAACCCTGCACAGTGTGACTAAACCCTGCACAGTGTGACTAAACCCTGCACAGTGTGACTAAACCCTGGACAGTGTGACTAAACCCTGCACAGTGTGACTAAACCCTGCACAGTGTGACTAAACCCTGGACAGTGTGACTAAACCCTGGACAGTGTGACTAAACCCTGGACAGTGTGACTAAACCCTGCACAGTGTGACTAAACCCTGCACAGTGTGACTAAACCCTGGACAGTGTGACTAAACCCTGCACAGTGTGACTAAACCCTGCACAGTGTGACTAAACCCTGGACAGTGTGACTAAACCCTGGACAGTGTGACTAAACCCTGGACAGTGTGACTAAACCCTGGACAGTGTGACTAAACCCTGGACAGTGTGACTAAACCCTGGACAGTGTGACTCTGGGAGGATGAAGGACCTTGCTGCAGGCCAGGTGAAGGGCAGTGTTGTTATTGGAGTCCACCAAAGTCAGGTCAGGTTTGGCTTTGTGCAGCAAAAACTCTGTGGAACAGAAAAACAAACGAGACACAATCACAGTGAGTCGTGCTTGTGTGCGTGTGCGCGTGCGTGCGTGCGTGCGTGCGTGCGTGCGTGTGTGTGTGTGTGTGTGTTAGTTAGCTCTGGACTAAACCCTCACACGGGGAGAACATGCAAACTGTCTGATGTGCAGGGACTATCCTCACCCACAGCCCTGGTCTGGCCGCTCTCTGCTGCCACCATCAGGGCAGAGCAGCCACTGCAGTCCCCAGCATTCAGCTCAGCCCCAGCAGACAGCAGCAGCTCCAGCCCACACAGGTTTCCAGAGTACGCTGCGGCGTGGAGCGGAGTCCTGCCAGAGTAATCAGAGTAACTATTACTGTAGTCACTTGTATGATCTTAGCAGTATTATTATCGACCTGGACATTTTTCATCTGATGGATGTATATCCATAATAATAATAAGAATAAAATAGTAATAATCATAATAGTAATAATAATAATAAACACACCTTCCTTTAGCGTCCTGCAGGTTGATACTTTTGGGGTCCATAGTCTTTAAGATAAATGTAGCAGCTTCTTCGTGGCCATTGATTCTACAAAAAACAGATTCAGATTAAAACATGTGTTACATGTGTGTAAACGTGTTACATGTGTGTAAATCCAAATCCTCCTCCTGTCACTTTGACCCTCTCCCCACCGTCCTTGTTAAAGCCTCCACTCCTGCACTTTCGCCTCTCATCACAAACATAATTAAAACCTCTTTATCTACTGGTACTGTGCCCTCCTCACTCAAAACTGCTGCCGTCACTCCCATACTCAAGAAACCTGGTTCTGACCCCTCTGACCTCAATAACTTCCGCCCCATCTCTAACCTTCCCTTCATTGCCAAACTCCTTGAAAAAAACGTTGCTGCTCAACTCCACTCTTACCTTTCCCACAATAACCTCTATGAACAACTTCAGTCTGGCTTCTGCTCCCTCCACAGCACTGAAACCGCCCTTCTCAAAATCACCAATGACCTTCTCCTCTCTGCTGACTCCGGTTCACTCTCCATCCTCCTCCTGCTTGATCTCAGTGCAGCATTCGACACCATCTCACATTCCATCCTTCTGCACAGACTCTCCTCCATTGGCATCTCAAGTACTCCCTTCTCCTGGTTCCATTCCTACCTTTCTGACCGCACCCAGTTCATCCAACTTAAATCCTTTTCCTCTCGTTCCTTCCCCATCACTTCTGGTGTTCCACAGGGTTCTGTCCTCGGCCCCCTGCTTTTCCTAATCTACCTTCTACCTCTTGGTCACATTTTCCGAAAACATCACATTCACTTCCACTGCTACGCGGATGACACCCAGCTCTACATCTCCAGCAAACCAGATTCCACACTCCCTCTCTCACTAACTGCCTCCAAGAAATAAAGTCCTGGTTCACAGCAAACTTCCTCAAACTTAACAGCAATAAAACTGAACTCCTCATCGCCACCAAAGCCACCCTCAATACATCAAAACATTCTCCATCTCCAATGACGGCTCCTCCATTTCTCCCTGTAAATGTGTTACATGTGTGTAAACGTGTTACATGTGTGTGTAAACGTGTTACATGTGTGTGTAAACGTGTTACATGTGTAAACGTGTTACATGTGTGTGTAAACGTGTTACATGTGTGTAAACGTGTTACATGTGTGTAAACGTGTTACATGTGTGTAAACGTGTTACATGTGTGTAAACGTGTTACATGTGTGTAAACGTGTTACATGTGTGTAAACGTGTTACATGTGTGTAAACGTGTTACATGTGTGTAAGCGTGTTACATGTGTGTAAACGTGTTACATGTATGTAAACGTGTTACATGTGTGTAAACATGTTACATGCGTGTAAATGTGTTACATGTGTGTAAACGTGTTACATGTATGTAAATGTGTTACATGTGTGTAAACGTGTTACATGTGTGTAAATGCGTTACATGTGTGTAAATGTGTTACATGTGTGTAAATGTGTGTTACATGTATGTAAATGTGTTACATGTGTGTAAATGTGTTACATGTGTGTAAATGTGTGTTACATGTGTGTAAATGTGTGTTACATGTGTGTTACATGTGCAGGACTCACAGAGCACAGTGCAAAGGAGAGAAGGAGTTTCCTTCTTCGTTGTTTTCAAGTTTGTGTTCAAGTAAAATCTGCAAACATGTTTCACGCCCTGTGGAAAAACAATCATAACGTTTAATGTTATACTTTAAAATATAACTCTGTCCTCCACTTTATCACTTTGTCTGACACTAACATTAATATAACTGACACTAACATTAATATAACTGACACTAACATTAATATAACTGACACTAACATTAATGAATGTTACATATACTAGTCAGATGAATAAAGAGTCTGACCGTGGTAGGCCGCCCAGTGCGTGGGTGTGTATCCTTTAAAGTCCAACATGGAGTCCAGAGGGTCCAGCGTCACCGCTGCCTTCAGCAGCAGATGCAGTAACTCTGCATGGCCACAGGAGGCAGCCAAGTGCAGCGGGGTCCTTCCCTGAGAGTCCCGACACAGAGCGGAGGCTCCGTGGTCCAAGAGAGCCGAGACACAGTCCTCACTGCCCAGCATGGACTGGAACACATGAGCAACACGTTAGCTCCCCTCCGTTAGCTCCCCTCCGTTAGCTCCCCTCCGTTAGCTCCCCTCCGTTAGCTCCCCTCCGTTAGCTCCCCTCCGTTAGCTCCCCTGTACATGTGATTAGATCTTCAGAGACAGACCACTCGGTGCAGTGCAGTGAAGCCCTTCTGGTCCGAGGTGTCAGGTTTTGAACCTTTCTCCAGGAGGATGTGAACACAGTCTGTGTGACAGCCCAGCGCCGCGAGCATCAGCGCCGTCCTGAAACACATGTGCTTTCTTTATAACGTTTATATGTTCATGTCCCTGTCCTGGACCGACTGCATTAAAGAAAAAGGTTCATGTCCCTGTCATAGACCGACTGCATTAGAGAAAAAGGTTTATGTCCCTGTCATAGACCGACTGCATTAAAGAAAAAGGTTCATGTCCCTGTCCTGGACCGACTGCATTAAAGAAAAAGGTTCATGTCCCTGTCATAGACAGACTGCATTAAAGAAAAAGGTTCATGTCTCTGTCATAGACCGACTGCATTAAAGAAAAAGGTTCATGTCCCTGTCATAGACCGACTGCATTAAAGAAAAAGGTTCATGTCCCTGTCCTGGACCGACTGCATTAAAGAAAAAGGTTCATGTCCCTGTCATAGACAGACTGCATTAAAGAAAAAGGTCCATGTCTCTGTCATAGACCGACTGCATTAAAGAAAAAGGTTCATGTCCCTGTCATAGACCGACTGTATTAAAAAAAAGGTTCATGTCCCTTTCATAGACCGACTGTATTAAAGAAAAAGGTTCATGTCCCTGTCATAGACCGACTGTATTAAAGAAAAAGGTTCATGTCCCTGTCTTGGACTGACTGCATTAAAGAAAAAGGTTCATGTGCCTGTCATAGACCGACTGCATTAAAGAAAAAGGTTCATGTCCCTGTCATGGACCAACTGCATTAAAGAAAAAGGTTCATGTCCCTGTCATAGACAGACTGCATTAAAGAAAAAGGTTCATGTCCCTGTCATAGACCGACTATTAAAGAAAAAGGTTCATGTCCCTGTCATGGACCGACTGTATTAAAGAAAAAGGTTCATGTGCCTGTCATAGACCGACTGCATTAAAGAAAAAGGTTCATGTCCCTGTCCTGGACCGACTGCATTAAAGAAAAAGGTTCATGTCCCTGTCATGGACCGACTGCATTAAAGAAAAAGGTTCATGTCCCTGTCATAGACCGACTGTATTAAAGAAAAAGGTTCATGTCCCTGTCATAGACCGACTGCATTAAAGAAAAAGGTTCATGTCCCTGTCCTGGACCGACTGCATTAAAGAAAAAGGTTCATGTCCCAGTCATAGACAGACTGCATTAAAGAAAAAGGTTCATGTCTCTGTCATAGACCGACTGCATTAAAGAAAAAGGTTCATGTCCCTGTCATAGACCGACTGCATTAAAGAAAAAGGTTCATGTCCCTGTCCTGGACCGACTGCATTAAAGAAAAAGGTTTATGTCCCTGTCATAGACCGACTGTATTAAAGAAAAAGGTTCATGTCCCTGTCATAGACCGACTGCATTAAAGAAAAAGGTCCATGTCCCTGTCATAGACCGACTGTATTAAAGAAAAAGGTTCATGTCCCTGTCATAGACCGACTGTATTAAAGAAAAAGGTTCATGTGCCTGTCATAGACCGACTGCATTAAAGAAAAAGGTCCATGTCCCTGTCATAGACCGACTGTATTAAAGAAAAAGTTTCATGTCCCTGTCATAGACCGACTGTATTAAAGAAAAAGGTTCATGTGCCTGTCATAGACCGACTGCATTAAAGAAAAAGGTTCATGTCCCTGTCCTGGACCGACTGCATTAAAGAAAAAGGTTCATGTCCCTGTCATGGACCGACTGCATTAAAGAAAAAGGTTCATGTCCCTGTCATAGACCGACTGTATTAAAGAAAAAGGTTCATGTCCCTGTCATAGACCGACTGCATTAAAGAAAAAGGTTCATGTTCCTGTCATAGACCGACTGCATTAAAGAAAAAGGTCCATGTCCCTGTCATAGACCGACTGTATTAAAGAAAAAGGTTCATGTCCCTGTCATAGACCGGCTGTATTAAAGAAAAAGGTTCATGTCCCTGTCATAGACCGACTGCATTAAAGAAAAAGTTTCATGTCCCTGTCATAGACCGACTGCATTAAAGAAAAAGGTTCATGTCCCTGTCATAGACCGACTGCATTAAAGAAAAAGGTTCATGTCCCTGTCATAGACCGACTGCATTAAAGAAAAAGGTTCATATCCCTGTCCTGGACCGACTGCATTAAAGAAAAAGGTTCATGTCCCTGTCATGGACCAACTGCATTAAAGAAAAAGGTTCATGTCCCTGTCATAGACCGACTGCATTAAAGAAAAAGGTTCATGTCCCTGTCCTGGACCGACTGCATTAAAGAAAAAGGTTCATGTCCCTGTCATAGACCGACTGTATTAAAGAAAAAGGTTCATGTCCCTGTCATAGACCGACTGCATTAAAGAAAAAGGTTCATGTCCCTGTCATAGACAGACTGTATTAAAGAAAAAGGTTCATGTCCCTGTCCTGGACCGACTGCATTAAAGAAAAAGGTTCATGTCCCTGTCATAGACCGACTGCATTAAAGAAAAAGGTTCATGTCCCTGTCATAGACCGACTGCATTAAAGAAAAAGGTTCATGTCCCTGTCATAGACCGACTTCATTAAAGAAAAAGGTTCATGTCCCTGTCATAGACCGACTGCATTAAAGAAAAAGGTTCATGTCCCTGTCATAGACAGACTGTATTAAAGAAAAAGGTTCATGTCCCTGTCATAGACAGACTGTATTAAAGAAAAAGGTTCATGTCCCTGTCATAGACAGACTGTATTAAAGAAAAAGGTTCATGTCCCTGTCATAGACAGACTGTATTAAAGAAAAAGGTTCATGTCCCTGTCATAGACCGACTGCATTAAAGAAAAAGGTTCATGTCCCTGTCATAGACCGACTGTATTAAAGAAAAAGGTTCATGTCCCTGTCATAGACCGACTGTATTAAAGAAAAAGGTTCATGTCCCTGTCATAGACAGACTGTATTAAAGAAAAAGGTTCATGTCCCTGTCATAGACCGACTGTATTAAAGAAAAAGGTTCATGTCCCTGTCATAGACAGACTGTATTAAAGAAAAAGGTTCATGTCCCTGTCCTGGACCGACTGCATTAGAGAAAAAGGTTCATGTCCCTGTCATAGACCGACTGCATTAAAGAAAAAGGTTCATGTCCCTGTCATGGACCGACTGCATTAGAGAAAAAGGACTTAATCTGTCGCTCATGTCACTGTTGCACTTATTCAAAAACATATTTACAGATTATTACTTTAACATCAGAGAATATCACCAACATAAATAAGTTAATTCATTAAGTTAAAGGGATGAGTGGATGACCAGATACACAGGGTTAGACTGAGGGAGGACTAACCCTGACACACATACAGTGCCTTGCTAAAGTATTCGCCCCCCTTGAACCTTTCAACATTTCGCCATTTCAGGCTTCAAACATAAAGATATAACATTTTAATTTTTTGTCATGAATCAACAACAAGTGGGACACAATCGTGAAGTGGAACGAAATTTATTGGATAATTTAAACTTTTAAAGCCCCCACTGAAAGATCAAGGCTATGCTCACAGTCAGAGAGCAGCCGCCCTCCTGTGGACTCACCACCTGCAGAGGGTCAGTGAGGGGCTGGTGCTATGAGACTTGGGTGGTCTCTCTGACTGCCACCCCCCTGACCCAGAAATGGATTAAAGGGTAGAAAATGGATGGATGGAATTTAAACTTTTTTATCAAATAAAAAACTGAAAAGTGGGGCGTGCAATATTATTGGGCCCCTTTACTTTCAGTGCAGCAAACTCAGTCCAGAAGTTCAGTGAGGATCTTTGAATGATCCAATGTTGTCCTAAATGACTGATGATGATAAATAGAATGCACCTGTGTGTAATCAAGTCTCCGTATAAATGCACCTGCTCTTTGATAGTCTCAGGGTTCTGTTTAAAGCACAGAGAGAACCATGAAGACAAAGGAACACACCAGGCAGGTCCGAGATACTGTTGTGGACGGATTTGGATACAAAAAGGATCCCGCTCCCCCCGCCTCCATCCAACCTCACTGAGCTCCAGCTGTTTTGCAAGGAAGAATGGGCAAGAATTCCAGTCTCTCAATGTGCAAAACTGATAGAGACAAACCCCAAGCGACTTGCAGCTGTAATTGCAGCAAAAGGTGGCGCTACAAAGTATTAGCGCAAGGGGCCGAATAATATTCTGCAGGTCTGCAGCAGCTGCTGAGAGTTTGCACAGAATATGGGGAACAGTATGACATAAAGTTTAACTCTAAGAAGTCAGTAGTTATGGTGGTGAGGACCAAAGAACACCTGAAGACCTCTTTTCCTGCCTTTTATTTGTCTGATGTGGTGCTTCAGAATGTAGAGAAGGCCAAATACCTGGGGCACGTAATCAGGAGTGACCTCAGTGATGACGATGACGTTCAGAGGCAGTACTGTAAGCTGTACGGACAGGCTAACACTTTTGCTCGGAGATTTCACATGTGTACTGATAATGTGAAAATAACTTTGTTTAAAGCCTACTGCACACCGCTCTATACTGCCCCCTGTGGTGCAGATACAGTAAGAGTAAGTTTAAGAACCTACAGGTTGCATATAATGATGCACTTAGAATTTTACTGAGAGTCCCTCGTTGGACTAGTGCCAGCTCACCGTTTGTTTTTAATAATGTCCCCGCTCTGACTGCTGTGATCAGAAACTGTATTTATAAGTTCATGAAACGCTCTGAGCACTCTTTAAATGTAATAATGAATGTTTTTACTGTACAGAGCAGTGTTAGGCACACCTCTGACCTCTGGAGGCATTGGAGAAGCTGTCTTTATAGAATTTTGTAATTATTGAATGTTTGTGTGTGTGTTTTTTTTTTGTCTCTTTTGTTTTATATGGACCCTTTGTGTGTCTGAATTAAAGAATTAAAGAAAGATAAATATTGCACACCCCAATTTTCAGTTTTTTATTTGTTGAAAAAGTTTAAATTATCCAATAAATTTCATTCCACTTCACGATTGTGTCCCACTTGTTGTTGATTCTCGACAAAAAATTTATTTTTATATCTTTATGTTTGAAGCCTGAAATGTGGCGAAATGTTGAAAGGTTCAAGGGGGCCGAATACTTTCGCAAGCCACTGTACACAGGGTTAGACTGAGGGAGGGACTAACCCTGACAAACATGAGACACACACTGTTGTGTTGTGTTTGTTTATTTACTGTTGTGTTTGTTTACTGTTGTGTTGTGTTTGTTTACTGTTGCGTTGTGTTTGTTTACTGTTGCGTTGTGTTTGTTTACTGTTGCGTTGTGTTTATTTACTGTTGTAGCAGTTTGTGTTGACGTGTCACTCACTGTCCTTGTGTGTCCGCGAGGTCAATGACGTCAGTGCTCTGTTCCCCGTTCACCAGTAACAGCAGACAGTCCATGTTCCCTTCAGCCGCTGGACACACGTGACATCACACACAGTGACATCACACAGTGACATCACAAACAAGTGACATGAAAAATAGGTAAGCTCCCTCAGTCTCAGACCCATCCCGCTCAGTCTCAGACCCATCCCGCTCAGTCTCAGCTCCCTCAGTCTCAGCTCCCTCAGTCTCAGCTCCCTCAGTCTCAGACCCATCTCCCTCAGTCTCAGCTCCCTCAGTCTCAGCTCCCTCAGTCTCAGACCCATCTCCCTCAGTCTCAGCTCCCTCAGTCTCAGACCCATCTCCCTCAGTCTCGGTAAGTAGTAATAAGTAGTAGTAGTAAGTAATCTTTATTTATATACACACAGAGATGGGAGCGGGGTCGCCAGTACAGGAGGCGCATGCCAGACATGCCTATTGGACATATTTTTAGTGGTAGGGGAAACCGGAGTACCCGGAGGAAACCTACGCAGACACGGGGAGAACATGCAAACTCCACTCAGAAAGGCCCTGGTCCGACCGGGATTCGAACCCAGGACCTTCTTGCTGAGAGGCGAGAGTGCTATCCACTCAGCCACCGTGTCGGTGTGGTCTGTACCTGCAGCGTGCAGTGCGGTCCTCTTGTGCCGTGGATCCCTGACGGCGTAAGACGCCTGGTGTTTGAGGAGGACGTCCACACAGGACGAGTGTCCTCTCTGAGCGGCCAAGTGCAGAGCCGTCTGCCCCTGAACGTCACGGACATCCAGACTCACCAGAGTCTCACAGAGCAGGCTCAGGGCCTCACAGTGACCGTAGTACGCCTGAGACACACAAAGACACACAACCATACTTTAGTATTTCACCACATTCAAAACATTCAGCGACTGAAGAACACTTACTGCTAAGTGCAATGGACTGACAGGAAAATTACTTTCCACTTCCTCCAGACAGTTAAATGATATTTCCAGAAGCTGTAAACAAAGTGTTTAATAACCATGTATATTTACAGATGGAACCATGTGTCGTACCAGCTCCAGGTGCTGCTTGTTGCCGTACGCAGCTGCATAATGAACAGCACTGTAGCCTTTACTGTTCTTCAAAGTGGGGTCCGCTCCACTGTCCAGTAAATAGTCCAAACATCTGCAGCAGAGAACATGTACATGATATCACATGTGTAAGGTTAAATAAGGGACAGGGCCGGACAACAGAGCCAGGCCCTGGGCTGTGTAAACATTCGACCAAAAGGAGGGAGACATCCCACTGCTGCTTCAAAGGAACACCGAGGTCGACCGGAGGACTGCCATTGATCATGGGGATTACAGGCGTCAAACAGAGCAATAAAGTCACCACGGGAATAAACATCTCTGTCTCTGCCTGCCTGTAGAGATCAAAGATCACAACTCTGCTCTCACTCCCGGGACCTTCCTGTCCCTGGACAATCAACGACTCACCCACGGCGTTATGGCGCCCCCCAGCGGATACCGGACACTATCACACCCGAGGCGGACACTCGAAACGGACATTCCCCGATGACATTATGTTGATAACCGTTACGGACACTACTCGTATGTGGCGTTGTCTGTGATGTGAATGCACTGTGTATCGGTATATGATTATGAACGATAGAATGTCTATATGTGTTGTGTTTCGCCTGTGTGAACATGCCGGCTCAAAGGGGCGCCCAAAGATGACGTCACGGACGCGCCCACTTTGACCACAACAAAACCAAAGCGCGGACTCACAGACTGCCTCTTGGCTCTCCCTAAATCACTATTGCAACTCTCCTTTCCGGTACGTGTCTCCTACACGGCCTACGCCCGCCACCATCTCGGGCCTGTACATCCACGAGGACAGCAACCACTCTCGCTGTCAGAGACGAGGGCCTTCTATCGCCAGCCACTTTCGGGCTCCCTGGAACACCCCACCGCTATTCTAGACCGTGTTGTGTGTGGAACCCACGCCTGGATCCGATCTGCCGGCTTCCTCCTGCTCCCTGTTCGAACAAAGACCACATGGACGAGAACCTCGCTTTTCCATCTCCATTCTTCACCACCATCCTTCCATCGCCACCACCTCCCTTGGACTGCTCAAAAGTAAGACTGTTCCCCGTTGGAGTGTGTTTCAAATGAGATGTATACAACTTCTGTTTAATGTGACCAGAAATCCTTTTCGTTAAATTTTCCATCTTTAATTTTTGTAATCAATAAATTCACGTTAACTTTAACTCAATCATTTAAGCGTCGTGTTGTTAGATCTTGGATATCTCTGGCTGATATACGCATCCACTACCTATTAGATTATAAGACTGACTCGAGGCAAAGTTAGTTGGATCTGTGCAGACTTTTCAAACTCTGCTGGTGCCCAAAAATAAAAAGCAGATCCCCCACTTGAATAGGACGGCCAGCCTCTGATTTGGAGACTAGCCGCACTATTCTTCATTTATAACTTATAACATAATCAGTAGTATTATTACCCTACACATGTATATGATATCACACGTACATGATATCACACGTACATGATATCACACGTACATGATATCACATGTATATGATATCACATGTACATGATATCACATGTATATGATATCACATGTATATGATATTACATGTATATGATATCACATGTATATGATATCACATGTACATGATATCACATGTACATGATATCACATGTACATGATATCACATGTACATGATATCACATGTACATGATATCACATGTACATGATATCACATGTATATGATATCACATGTATATGATATCACATGTATATGATATCACATGTATATGATATCACATGTATATGATATCACATGTATATGATATCACATGTATATGATATCACATGTATATATTCACATGTATATATATCACATGTATATGATATCACATGTATATGATATCACATGTATATGATATCACATGTATATGATATCACATGTATATGATATCACATGTATATGATATCACATGTATATGATATCACATGTATATGATATCACATGTATATGATATCACATGTATATGATATCACATGTATATGATATCACATGTATATGATATCACATGTATATGATATCACATGTATATGATATCACATGTATATGATATCACATGTATATGATATCACATGTATATGATATCACATGTATATGATATCACATGTATATGAAGGTGGGTCTGAGGGTTAGGGTTAAACAACATTAACAAATGAAAAACTTACAAAGAGGCTTCTCGTTCCTTCTCCAGATACGAGTCAGGGTCAGGGTCTGTGTCCTCCCTGAGAAAGAACACTCCCTTTAGTTCCACATACAGCAGGGTCTGCCACATCCATACAGAACCTTTGGCAGCTAGAACATCTGACCAGAACCTTTGGCAGCTATAACAAAATCCATACAGAACCTCTGGCAGCTAGAACACCATCTGACCAGAACCTCTGGCAGCTAGAACACCATCTGACCAGAACCTTTGGCAGCTAGAACACCATCTGACCAGAACCTTTGGCAGCTATAACAACATCCATACAGAACCTTTGGCAGCTATAACAACATCCATACAGAACCTTTGGCAGCTAGAACACCATCTGACCAGAACCTTTGGCAGCTATAACATCCGACCAGAACCTTTGGCAGCTAGAACATCTGACCAGAACCTTTGGCAGCTATAACACCATCCATACAGAACCTTTGGCAGCTATAACATCCGACCAGAACCTTTGGCAGCTATAACATCTGACCAGAACCTTTGGCAGCTAGAACATCTGACCAGAACCTTTGGCAGCTATAACACCATCTGACCAGAACCTTTGGCAGCTATAACATCTAACCAGAACCTATGGCAGCTATAACACCATCTGACCAGAACCTTTGGCAGCTATAACATCTGACCAGAACCTTTGGCAGCTATAACACCATCCATACAGAACCTTTGGCAGCTATAACATCCGACCAGAACCTTTGGCAGCTATAACACCATCTGACCAGAACCTTTGGCAGCTATAACATCTAACCAGAACCTATGGCAGCTAGAACACCATCTGACCAGAACCTTTGGCAGCTATAACACCATCTTGACCAGAACCTTTGGCAGCTAGAACACCATCTGACCAGAACCTTTGGCAGCTATAACACCATCTGACCAGAACCTTTGGCAACTATAACATCTGACCAGAACCTCTGGCAGCTATAACATCTGACCAGAACCTTTGGCAGCTATAACAACATATACACAGAACCTTTGGCAGCTAGAACACCATCTGACCAGAACCTTTGGCAGCTAGAACACCATCTGACCAGAACCTTTGGCAGCTATAACAACATCCATACAGAACCTTTGGCAGCTAGAACACCATCTGACCAGAACCTTTGGCAGCTATAACATCCGACCAGAACCTTTGGCAGCTAGAACATCTGACCAGAACCTTTGGCAGCTATAACACCATCCATACAGAACCTTTGGCAGCTATAACATCCGACCAGAACCTTTGGCAGCTATAACATCTGACCAGAACCTTTGGCAGCTAGAACATCTGACCAGAACCTTTGGCAGCTAGAACATCTGACCAGAACCTTTGGCAGCTATAACACCATCTGACCAGAACCTTTGGCAGCTATAACATCATCTGACCAGAACCTTTGGCAGCTATAACATCTAACCAGAACCTATGGCAGCTATAACACCATCTGACCAGAACCTTTGGCAGCTATAACATCTGACCAGAACCTTTGGCAGCTAGAACACCATCTGACCAGCCCCTTTGGCAGCTATAACACCATCTTGACCAGAACCTTTGGCAGCTAGAACACCATCTGACCAGAACCTTTGGCAGCTATAACACCATCTGACCAGAACCTTTGGCAACTATAACATCTGACCAGAACCTCTGGCAGCTATAACATCTGACCAGAACCTTTGGCAGCTATAACAACATATACACAGAACCTTTGGCAGCTAGAACACCATCTGACCAGAACCTTTGGCAGCTAGAACACCATCTGACCAGAACCTTTGGCAGCTAGAACACCATCTGACCAGAACCTTTGGCAGCTATAACAACATCCATACAGAACCTTTGGCAGCTAGAACACCATCTGACCAGAACCTTTGGCAACTATAACATCTGACCAGAACCTTTGGCAGCTATAACATCTGACCAGAACCTTTGGCAGCTATAACAACATCCATACAGAACCTCTGGCAGCTAGAACACCATCTGACCAGAACCTTTGGCAGCTATAACATCTGACCAGAACCTTTGGCAGCTATAACATCTGACCAGAACCTTTGGCAGCTAGAACACCATCTGACCAGAACCTCTGGCAGCTCTGAGGTTCTGCACAGACGTACCCAGAGAAGGTGAGGGAGGCAGCAGCGTAGTGCAGAGGGCTGCAGCCCATCAGGTCCCGGTCGTTCACCTCGGAGCCGGCGCGCACCAGGGACACGGTGCATTGACTGTTTCCATTGGCTGCAGCGTAATGCAGCGGAGACCTGACCACACACAAAGGTCCTTTAGCACTTTAGTGTTGTGAGGGGAGGTTAGCACTTTAGTGTCGAGAGGGGAGGTTAGCACTTTAGTGTTGAGGAGGTTAGCACTTTAGTGTCGAGAGGGGAGGTTAGCACTTTAGTGTTGAGAGGAGAGGTTAGCACTTTAGTGTTGAGAGGGGAGGTTAGCACTTTAGTGTTGTGAGGGGAGGTTAGCACTTTAGTGTCGAGAGGGGAGGTTAGCACTTTAGTGTTGAGGAGGTTAGCACTTTAGTGTCGAGAGGGGAGGTTAGCACTTTAGTGTTGTGAGGGGAGGTTAGCACTTTAGTGTTGTGAGGGGAGGTTAGCACTTTAGTGTCGAGAGGGGAGGTTAGCACTTTAGTGTTGAGAGGGGAGGTTAGCACTTTAGTGTTGAGAGGGGAGGTTAGCACTTTAGTGTTGAGAGGGGAGGTTAGCACTTTAGTGTTGAGAGGGGAGGTTAGCACTTTAGTGTTGAGAGGGGAGGTTAGCACTTTAGTGTTGAGAGGGGAGGTTAGCACTTTAGTGTTGAGAGGGGAGGTTAGCACTTTAGTGTTGAGAGGAGAGGTTAGCACTTTAGTGTTGAGAGGAGAGGTTAGCACTTTAGTGTCGAGGAGGTTAGCACTTTAGTGTTGAGAGGGGAGGTTAGCACTTTAGTGTTGAGGAGGTTAGCACTTTAGTGTTGAGAGGAGAGGTTAGCACTTAAGTGTTGAGAGGAGAGGTTAGCACTTTAGTGTTGAGGAGGTTAGCACTTTAGTGTTGAGAGGAGAGGTTAGCACTTTAGTGTCGAGGAGGTTAGCACTTTAGTGTTGAGAGGAGAGGTTAGCACTTTAGTGTTGTGAGAGGAGGTTAGCACTTTAGTGTTGAGAGAGGAGGTTAGCACTTTAGTGTTGAGGAGGTTAGCACTTTAGTGTTGAGAGGGGAGGTTAGCACTTTAGTGTCGAGGAGGTTAGCACTTTAGTGTTGAGAGAGGAGGTTAGCACTTTAGTGTTGAGAGGAGAGGTTAGCACTTTAGTGTTGAGAGGAGAGGTTAGCACTTTAGTGTTGAGAGGAGAGGTTAGCACTTAAGTGTTGAGAGGAGAGGTTAGCACTTTAGTGTTGAGGAGGTTAGCACTTTAGTGTTGAGGAGGTTAGCACTTTAGTGTTGAGAGGAGAGGTTAGCACTTTAGTGTCGAGGAGGTTAGCACTTTAGTGTTGAGAGGAGAGGTTAGCACTTTAGTGTTGTGAGAGGAGGTTAGCACTTTAGTGTTGAGAGAGGAGGTTAGCACTTTAGTGTTGAGGAGGTTAGCACTTTAGTGTTGAGGAGGTTAGCACTTTAGTGTTGAGAGGAGAGGTTAGCACTTTAGTGTTGAGAGGGGAGGTTAGCACTTTAGTGTCGAGGAGGTTAGCACTTTAGTGTTGAGAGGAGAGGTTAGCACTTTAGTGTTGAGAGGAGAGGTTAGCACTTTAGTGTTGAGGAGGTTAGCACTTTAGTGTTGAGAGGAGAGGTTAGCACTTTAGTGTTGTGAGAGGAGGTTAGCACTTTAGTGTTGTGAGAGGAGGTTAGCACTTTAGTGTTGAGGAGGTTAGCACTTTAGTGTTGAGGAGGTTAGGAGGTTAGCACTTTAGTGTTGAGGAGGTTAGCACTTTAGTGTTGAGAGGAGAGGTTAGCACTTTAGTGTTGTGAGAGGAGGTTAGCACTTTAGTGTTGTGAGAGGAGGTTAGCACTTTAGTGTTGTGAGAGGAGGTTAGCACTTTAGTGTTGAGGAGGTTAGCACTTTAGTGTTGAGAGGAGAGGTTAGCACTTTAGTGTTGAGGAGGTTAGCACTTTAGTGTTGAGAGGAGAGGTTAGCACTTTAGTGTTGAGAGGAGAGGTTAGCACTTTAGTGTTGAGAGGGGAGGTTAGCACTTTAGTGTTGAGGAGGTTAGCACTTTAGTGTTGAGAGGGGAGGTTAGCACTTTAGTGTTGAGAGGGGAGATTAGCACTTTAGTGTTGAGAGGAGGGGAGGTTAGCACTTTAGTGTTGAGGAGGTTAGCACTTTAGTGTTGAGAGGAGAGGTTAGCACTTTAGTGTTGAGAGGAGAGGTTAGCACTTTAGTGTTGAGAGGGGAGGTTAGCACTTTAGTGTTGAGGAGGTTAGCACTTTAGTGTTGAGAGGCGAGGTTAGCACTTTAGTGTTGAGAGGGGAGGTTAGCACTTTAGTGTTGAGAGGGGAGGTTAGCACTTTAGTGTTGAGAGGGGAGGTTAGCACTTTAGTGGTGAGAGAGGAGGTTAGCACTTTAGTGTTGAGAGGAGAGGTTAGCACTTTAGTGTTGAGGAGGTTAGCACTTTAGTGTTGAGAGGAGAGGTTAGCACTTTAGTGTTGAGAGGAGGAGAGGTTAGCACTTTAGTGTTGAGAGGGGGTAGGTTTAGCACTTTAGTGTTGAGGAGGTTAGCACTTTAGTGTTGAGAGGGGAGGTTAGCACTTTAGTGTTGAGGTTAGCACTTTGTTGAGAGGGCACTTAGTGTTAGCACTTTTAGTGTTGAGGTTAGCACTAGTGTGAGGTAGCACTTTAGTGTTGAGAGGGAGGACTTTGTGTGAGGGTTAGCACTTTAGTGTTGAGAGGGGAGGTTAGCACTTTAGTGTTGAGAGGGGAGGTTAGCACTTTAGTGTTGAGAGGGGAGGTTAGCACTTTAGTGTTGAGGTTAGCACTTTAGTGTTGAGAGGAGAGGTTAGCACTTTAGTGTTGTGAGAGGAGGTTAGCACTTTAGTGTTGAGAGAGGAGGTTAGCACTTTAGTGTTGAGAGGAGAGGTTAGCACTTTAGTGTTGAGGAGGTTAGCACTTTAGTGTTGAGAGGAGAGGTTAGCACTTTAGTGTTGTGAGAGGAGGTTAGCACTTTAATGTTGAGAGGGGAGGTTAGCACTTTAGTGTTGAGAGGGGAGGTTAGCACTTTAGTGTTGAGAGGGGAGGTTAGCACTTTAGTGTTGAGAGGGGAGGTTAGCACTTTAGTGTTGAGAGGGGAGGTTAGCACTTTAGTGTTGAGAGGGGAGGTTAGCACTTTAGTGTTGAGAGGGGAGGTTAGCACTTTAGTGTTGAGAGGAGAGGTTAGCACTTTAGTGTTGAGAGGAGAGGTTAGCACTTTAGTGTTGAGAGGAGAGGTTAGCACTTTAGTGTTGTGAGAGGAGGTTAGCACTTTAGTGTTGAGAGGGGAGGTTAGCACTTTAGTGTTGAGAGGGGAGGTTAGCACTTTAGTGTTGAGAGGGGAGGTTAGCACTTTAGTGTTGAGAGGAGAGGTTAGCACTTTAGTGTTGAGGAGGTTAGCACTTTAGTGTTGAGAGGAGGTTAGCACTTTAGTGTTGTGAGAGGAGGTTAGCACTTTAGTGTTGAGAGGAGAGGTTAGCACTTTAGTGTTGAGAGGAGAGGTTAGCACTTTAGTGTTGAGGAGGTTAGCACTTTAGTGTTGAGAGGAGGTTAGCACTTTAGTGTTGTGAGAGGAGGTTAGCACTTTAGTGTTGAGAGGGGAGGTTAGCACTTTAGTGTTGAGAGGGGAGGTTAGCACTTTAGTGTTGAGAGGGGAGGTTAGCACTTTAGTGTTGAGAGGGGAGGTTAGCACTTTAGTGTTGAGAGGAGAGGTTAGCACTTTAGTGTTGAGAGGAGAGGTTAGCACTTTAGTGTTGAGGAGGTTAGCACTTTAGTGTTGAGGAGGTTAGCACTTTAGTGTTGAGGAGGTTAGCACTTTAGTGTTGAGAGGAGAGGTTAGCACTTTAGTGTTGAGAGGAGAGGTTAGCACTTTAGTGTTGAGAGGGGAGGTTAGCACTTTAGTGTTGAGGAGGTTAGCACTTTAGTGTTGAGAGGGGAGGTTAGCACTTTAGTGTTGAGAGGGGAGATTAGCACTTTAGTGTTGAGAGGGGAGGTTAGCACTTTAGTGTTGAGAGGGGAGGTTAGCACTTTAGTGTTGAGGAGGTTAGCACTTTAGTGTTGAGAGGGGAGGTTAGCACTTTAGTGTTGAGAGGAGAGGTTAGCACTTTAGTGTTGAGGGGGGGTTAGCACTTTAGTGTTGAGGGAGGTTAGCACTTTAGTGTTGAGAGGAGGTTAGCACTTTAGTGTTGAGAGGAGAGGTTAGCACTTTAGTGTTGAGAGGGGAGGTTAGCACTTTAGTGTTGAGAGGGGAGGTTAGCACTTTAGTGTTGAGGAGGTTTAGCACTTTAGTGTTGAGAGGGGAGGTTAGCACTTTAGTGTTGAGAGGAGAGGTTAGCACTTTAGTGTTGAGAGGGGAGGTTAGCACTTTAGTGTTGAGAGGGAGGTTAGCACTTTAGTGTTGAGAGGAGAGGTTAGCACTTTAGTGTTGAGAGGAGAGGTTAGCACTTTAGTGTTGAGAGGGGAGGTTAGCACTTTAGTGTTGAGGTTAGCACTTTAGTGTTGAGAGGGGAGGTTAGCACTTTAGTGTTGAGAGGAGAGGTTAGCACTTTAGTGTTGAGAGGGGAGGTTAGCACTTTAGTGTTGAGGGGGTTAGCACTTTAGTGTTGAGAGGAGAGGTTAGCACTTTAGTGTTGAGAGGAGAGGTTAGCACTTTAGTGTTGAGAGGGGAGGTTAGCACTTTAGTGTTGAGGAGGTTAGCACTTTAGTGTTGAGAGGGGAGGTTAGCACTTTAGTGTTGAGAGGGGAGGTTAGCACTTTAGTGTTGAGAGGGGAGGTTAGCACTTTAGTGTTGAGAGGGGAGGTTAGCACTTTAGTGTTGAGAGGGGAGGTTAGCACTTTAGTGTTGAGAGGAGAGGTTAGCACTTTAGTGTTGAGGAGGTTAGCACTTTAGTGTTGAGAGGAGAGGTTAGCACTTTAGTGTCGTGAGAGGGAGGTTAGCACTTTAGTGTTGAGAGTGGAGGTTAGCACTTTAGTGTTGAGAGGGGAGGTTAGCACTTTAGTGTTGAGAGAGGAGGTTAGCACTTTAGTGTTGAGAGGAGAGGTTAGCACTTTAGTGTTGAGGAGGTTAGCACTTTAGTGTTGAGAGGAGAGGTTAGCACTTTAGTGTCGTGAGAGGAGGTTAGCACTTTAGTGTTGAGAGTGGAGGTTAGCACTTTAGTGTTGAGAGGGGAGGTTAGCACTTTAGTGTTGAGAGGAGAGGTTAGCACTTTAGTGTTGAGAGGAGAGGTTAGCACTTTAGTGTTGAGGAGGTTAGCACTTTAGTGTTGAGGAGGTTAGCACTTTAGTGTTGAGAGGGGAGGTTAGCACTTTAGTGTTGAGGAGGTTAGCACTTTAGTGTTGAGAGGGGAGGTTAGCACTTTAGTGTTGAGAGGAGAGGTTAGCACTTTAGTGTTGAGAGGGGAGGTTAGCACTTTAGTGTTGAGGTTAGCACTTTAGTGTTGAGAGGGGAGGTTAGCACTTTAGTGTTGAGAGGGGAGGTTAGCACTTTAGTGTTGAGAGGGGAGGTTAGCACTTTAGTGTTGAGAGGGAGATTAGCACTTTAGTGTTGAGAGGGGAGGTTAGCACTTTAGTGTTGAGAGGGGAGGTTAGCACTTTAGTGTTGAGAGGGGAGGTTAGCACTTTAGTGTTGAGAGGGGAGGTTAGCACTTTAGTGTTGAGGAGGTTAGCACTTTAGTGTTGAGAGGAGAGGTTAGCACTTTAGTGTTGAGAGGAGAGGTTAGCACTTTAGTGTTGAGGAGGTTAGCACTTTAGTGTTGAGAGGAGAGGTTAGCACTTTAGTGTTGAGAGGAGAGGTTAGCACTTTAGTGTTGAGGAGGTTAGCACTTTAGTGTCGAGGAGGTTAGCACTTTAGTGTTGAGGAGGTTAGCACTTTAGTGTTGAGGAGGTTAGCACTTTAGTGTTGAGAGGAGAGGTTAGCACTTTAGTGTTGAGAGGAGAGGTTAGCACTTTAGTGTTGAGGAGGTTAGCACTTTAGTGTCGAGGAGGTTAGCACTTTAGTGTTGAGGAGGTTAGCACTTTAGTGTTGAGGAGGTTAGCACTTTAGTGTTGAGAGGAGAGGTTAGCACTTTAGTGTCGAGGAGGTTAGCACTTTAGTGTCGAGGAGGTTAGCACTTTAGTGTCGAGGAGGTTAGCACTTTAGTGTTGAGAGGAGAGGTTAGCACTTTAGTGTCGAGGAGGTTAGCACTTTAGTGTCGAGGAGGTTAGCACTTTAGTGTCGAGGAGGTTAGCACTTTAGTGTTGAGAGGGGAGGTTAGCACTTTAGTGTTGAGAGGGGAGGTTAGCACTTTAGTGTCCAGGAGGTTAGCACTTTAGTGTTGAGAGGGGAGGTTAGCACTTTAGTGTTGAGAGGGGAGGTTAGCACTTTAGTGTCGAGAGGGGAGGTTAGCACTTTAGTGTCGAGAGGGGAGGTTAGCACTTTAGTGTCGAGAGGGGAGGTTAGCACTTTAGTGTTGAGGAGGTTAGCACTTTAGTGTTGAGAGGAGAGGTTAGCACTTTAGTGTCGAGGAGGTTAGCACTTTAGTGTCGAGGAGGTTAGCACTTTAGTGTTGAGGAGGTTAGCACTTTAGTGTTGAGGAGGTTAGCACTTTAGTGTTGAGAGGAGAGGTTAGCACTTTAGTGTCGAGGAGGTTAGCACTTTAGTGTTGAGAGGGGAGGTTAGCACTTTAGTGTCGAGGAGGTTAGCACTTTAGTGTTGAGAGAGGAGGTTAGCACTTTAGTGTTGAGAGGAGAGGTTAGCACTTTAGTGTTGAGGAGGTTAGCACTTTAATGTTGAGGAGGTTAGCACTTTAGTGTTGAGAGGGGAGGTTAGCACTTTAGTGTTGAGGAGGTTAGCACTTTAGTGTTGAGAGGTTAGCACTTTAGTGTTGAGAGGTTAGCACTTTAGTGTTGAGAGGTTAGCACTTTAGTGTTGTGAGAGGAGGTTAGCACTTTAGTGTTGTGAGAGGAGGTTAGCACTTTAGTGTTGAGAGGGGAGGTTAGCACTTTAGTGTTGAGAGGGGAGGTTAGCACTTTAGTGTTGAGAGGGGAGGTTAGCACTTTAGTGTTGAGGAGGTTAGCACTTTAGTGTCGAGGAGGTTAGCACTTTAGTGTTGAGAGGTTAGCACTTTAGTGTTGAGAGGGGAGGTTAGCACTTTAGTGTTGAGAGGGGAGGTTAGCACTTTAGTGTTGAGAGGGGAGGTTAGCACTTTAGTGTTGAGAGGGGAGGTTAGCACTTTAGTGTTGAGAGGGGAGGTTAGCACTTTAGTGTTGAGAGGAGGTTAGCACTTTCACAGCTGCACACATGACATGACTGTAAATACAGTATGTACATGAGTCCATGTGATGTGGGGACGGTCATGTGACTGTTTATGGCTTCCGTCCCCGGAGGCTCAGATTTCTTACCTTTGGTGTTACATATGTAACATGTGGGTTAGGCTTAGAGTGCTCAGAGACAGATTATTGTAACATGTGGGTTAGGTTTAGAGTGCTCACAGACACAGATTATTGTAACATGTGGGTTAGGTTTAGAGAGCTCAGAGACACAGATTATTGTAACATGTGGGTTAGGTTTAGAGAGCTCAGAGACACAGATTATTGTAACATGTGGGTTAGGCTTAGAGAGCTCAGAGACACAGATTATTGTAACATGTGGGTTAGGTTTAGAGAGCTCAGAGACACAGATTATTGTAACATGTGGGTTAGGTTTAGAGAGCTCAGAGACACAGATTATTGTAACATGTGGGTTAGGCTTAGAGAGCTCAGAGACACAGATTATTGTAACATGTGGGTTAGGTTTAGAGAGCTCAGAGACACAGATTATTGTAACATGTGGGTTAGGTTTAGAGAGCTCAGAGACACAGATTATTGTAACATGTGGGTTAGGCTTAGAGAGCTCAGAGACACAGATTTCATACCTTCCCAACTGGTCCCTTGCATCCAGATCTGCACCACAGTTTAGTAAAAGGTTGAGACAGTCCACATTCCTGTTGATTATTGGAAAACATTTCTGTGTTACTGTTTAAATAATGTCATGGTTCTGCTTTTCTCACCCTCCGGAGGCAGCGGCGTGCAGACAGGTCCTACCGTGTTCATCTGCACTGTTTATATCAAACCCACACATCTGACCTGGCTCCAAAGGTGGCATCATGTTATACAGTTGACCTAAGAGAAAAGAATGATATAGTAACACAATCTGACACACATCATGTATAAGTAACACAATCTGACACACATCATGTATAAGTAACACAATCTGACACACATCATGTATAAGTAACACAATCTGACACATATGTTTAAGTAACACAAACTGACACACATCATGTTTAAGTAACACAATCTGACACACATCATGTATAAGTAACACAATCTGACACACAATGACACATGTGCATCCATCAGCCGCAGTTCACACAAATCTAAGACTAAGAAAATCTTAAAGTACAAACATGACTTTTCAGTATTATATATTTTTAACAGTGTACCCTGTAAATACTGTTACCAAGAGCTAAGTTGATCTTTACCTGGAGACAGCAGCTTCCGACAGCAGTCAGGAAAACCATAGAGCGCAGACAGATGCAGAGGGAGCATGCCGTTAACGCCACGTCTAAAGGACGTCAGAGAGTCAGAGCAAGGAACGGCTCACTCTGACTCTCTGACGTCTAAAGGAGGTCTAAAGGAGGTCTAAAGGAGGTCTAAAGGAGGTCTAAAGGAGGTCTAAAGGAGGTCTAAAGGAGGTCTAAAGGAGGTCTAAAGGACGTCTAAAGGAGGTCTAAAGGAGGTCTAAAGGACGTCTAAAGGACGTCTAAAGGAGGTCTAAAGGAGGTCTAAAGGACGTCTAAAGGAGGTCTAAAGGAGGTCTAAAGGACGTCTAAAGGAGGTCTAAAGGAGGTCTAAAGGAGGTCTAAAGGAGGTCTAAAGGAGGTCTAAAGGAGGTCTAAAGGAGGTCTAAAGGAGGTCTAAAGGAGGTCTAAAGGAGGTCTAAAGGAGGTCTAAAGGAGGTCTAAAGGACGTCTAAAGGACGTCTAAAGGACGTCTAAAGGAGGTCTAAAGGAGGTCTAAAGGAGGTCTAAAGGAGGTCTAAAGGACGTCTAAAGGAGTCTAAAGGAGGTCTAAAGGAGGTCTAAAGGACGTCTAAAGGAGGTCTAAAGGAGGTCTAAAGGAGGTCTAAAGGAGGTCTAAAGGACGTCTAAAGGAGGTCTAAAGGAGGTCTAAAGGAGGTCTAAAGGAGGTCTAAAGGAGGTCTAAAGGAGGTCTAAAGGACATCTAAAGGAGGTCTAAAGGAGGTCTAAAGGAGGTCTAAAGGAGGTCTAAAGGAGGTCTAAAGGAGGTCTAAAGGAGGTCTAAAGGAGGTCTAAAGGAGGTCTAAAGGAGGTCTAAAGGAGGTCTAAAGGAGGTCTAAAGGAGGTCTAAAGGAGGTCTAAAGGACGTCTAAAGGACGTCTAAAGGAGGTCTAAAGGAGGTCTAAAGGACGTCTAAAGGACGTCTAAAGGACGTCTAAAGGACGTCTAAAGGAGGTCTAAAGGAGGTCTAAAGGACGTCTAAAGGACGTCTAAAGGACGTCTAAAGGACGTCTAAAGGACGTCTAAAGGACGTCTAAAGGAGGTCTAAAGGAGGTCTAAAGGAGGTCTAAAGGAGGTCTAAAGGAGGTCTAAAGGACGTCTAAAGGACGTCTAAAGGAGGTCTAAAGGAGGTCTAAAGGAGGTCTAAAGGAGGTCTAAAGGACGTCTAAAGGACGTAAAGGAGGTCTAAAGGAGGTCTAAAGGAGGTCTAAAGGAGGTCTAAAGGAGGTCTAAAGGAGGTCTAAAGGAGGTCTAAAGGAGGTCTAAAGGAGGTCTAAAGGAGGTCTAAAGGAGGTCTAAAGGACGTCTAAAGGAGGTCTAAAGGACGTCTAAAGGAGGTCCAAAGGAGGTCAGAGAGTCAGAGCGAGGAGAGCCTCACACACTTTGATAAAGTAGAAAAAGAGTGTACTTGGTTTTGTCGGCCCCGTTGGTCAGCAGCGTGCTGATCAGCAGCTCCTGACCATACCTCGCTGCCACATGGAGAGGAGTGTTCCCAAAGTGATCCACATGGTCCACGTCACTGCCTGAGGACAGGACCAGTTATCCACCCACAGAACCCTTTATGTTTTCAGACTAGTTACCGTTTTGGATGAGGATCTGAGAGGCAGAGAAGCGGCCCTGCATGGCAGCCATGTGCAGAGGGGTCTTCCCTTCTTTGTTCTGCTCACAAGAAGTTACACTTATGTTTATGGAAATAACAAGTCACAAATGTTTAACCATAAACACTGTTTATCATGTTGTTTATGGAAATATCCAGCTCACTACAGTCACTACACTACAGTCACTACACTACACTACAGTCACTACACTACAGTCACTACACTACAGTCACTACACTACACTACAGTCACTACACTACAGTCACTACACTACACTACACTACAGTCACTACACTACACTACAGTCACTACACTACAGTCACTACACTACACTACACTACAGTCACTACACTACACTACACTACAGTCACTACACTACAGTCACTACACTACACTACAGTCACTACACTACAGTCACTACACTACACTACACTACAGTCACTACACTACACTACAGTCACTACACTACATCACTGCACTACACTACACTACAGTCACTACACTACACTACACTACAGTCACTACACTACAGTCACTACACTACAGTCACTACACTACAGTCACTACACTACAATCACTACACTACAGTCACTACACTACACTACAGTCACTACACTACAGTCACTACACTACAGTCACTACACTACAGTCACTACACTACACTACAGTCACTACACTACAGTCACTACACTACACTACACTACAGTCACTACACTACACTACACTACAGTCACTACACTACAGTCACTACACTACACTACACTACACTACACTACAGTCACTACACTACACTACACTACAGTCACTACACTACAGTCACTACACTACACTACACTACAGTCACTACACTACAGTCACTACACTACAGTCACTACACTACAGTCACTACACTACAGTCACTACACTACAGTCACTACACTACACTACACTACAGTCACTACACTACACTCACTACACTACAGTCACTACAGTACAGTCACTACACTACACTACACTACACTAGTCACTACACTACACTACAGTCACTACGCTACAGTCACTACATTACAATCACTACACTACACTACACTACAGTCACTACACTACACTCACTACACTACACTACACTACAGTCACTACACTACACTACAGTCACTACACTACAGTCACTACACTACACTACACTACAGTCACTACACTACACTCACTACACTACAGTCACTACACTACAGTCACTACACTACACTACAGTCACTACACTACACTACACTCACTACACTACACTACACTCACTACACTACAGTCACTACAGTCACTACACTACAGTCACTACACTACACTACAGTCACTACACTACACTACACTACAGTCACTACACTACAGTCACTACACTACACTACAGTCACTACACTACACTCACTACACTACAGTCACTACACTACACTACAGTCACTACACTACACTCACTACACTACAGTCACTACACTACACTACAGTCACTACACTACACTACAGTCACTACACTACACTACAGTCACTACACTACACTACAGTCACTACACTACAGTCACTACACTACACTACAGTCACTACACTACACTACAGTCACTACACTACAGTCACTACACTACACTACACTACAGTCACTACACTACAGTCACTACACTACACTACAGTCACTACACTACACTCACTACACTACAGTCACTACACTACACTACAGTCACTACACTACACTACAGTCACTACACTACACTACAGTCACTACACTACACTACAGTCACTACACTACAGTCACTACACTACACTACAGTCACTACACTACACTACAGTCACTACACTACACTACACTCACTACACTACACTACAGTCACTACACTACACTCACTACACTACAGTCACTACACTACAGTCACTACACTACAGTCACTACACTACAGTCACTACACTACAGTCACTACAGTACAGTCACTACACTACACTACAGTCACTACACTACACTACAGTCACTACACTACACTACAGTCACTACGCTACAGTCACTACATTACAATCACTACACTACACTACACTACAGTCACTACACTACAGTCACTACACTACACTACAGTCACTACACTACACTACAGTCACTACACTACAGTCACTACACTACACTACACTACAGTCACTACACTACAGTCACTACACTACACTACAGTCACTACACTACACTCACTACACTACAGTCACTACACTACACTACAGTCACTACACTACACTACAGTCACTACACTACACTACAGTCACTACACTACACTACAGTCACTACACTACAGTCACTACACTACACTACAGTCACTACACTACACTACAGTCACTACACTACAGTCACTACACTACACTACAGTCACTACACTACACTACAGTCACTACACTACACTACACTCACTACACTACACTACAGTCACTACACTACACTCACTACACTACAGTCACTACAGTCACTACACTACAGTCACTACACTACAGTCACTACACTACACTACACTACAGTCACTACACTACACTCACTACACTACAGTCACTACAGTACAGTCACTACACTACACTACACTACACTACAGTCACTACACTACACTACAGTCACTACGCTACAGTCACTACATTACAATCACTACACTACACTACACTACACTCACTACACTACAGTCACTACAGTACAGTCACTACACTACACTACACTACAGTCACTACACTACAGTCACTACACTACACTACACTCACTACACTACAGTCACTACACTACACTACAGTCACTACACTACACTACAGTCACTACACTACACTACACTACAGTCACTACACTACACTCACTACACTACAGTCACTACACTACACTACAGTCACTACACTACACTACACTACAGTCACTACACTACACTCACTACACTACAGTCACTACACTACAGTCACTACACTACAGTCACTACACTACAGTCACTACACTACAATCACTACACTACAGTCACTACACTACACTACAGTCACTACGCTACAGTCACTACACTACAGTCACTACACTACACTACAGTCACTACACTACACTACAGTCACTACGCTACAGTCACTACACTACAGTCACTACACTACAGTCACTACGCTACAGTCACTACATTACAATCACTACACTACACTACACTAGTCACTACACTACAGTCACTACACTACACTCACTACACTACAGTCACTACAGTCACTACACTACAGTCACTACACTACAGTCACTACACTACAATCACTACACTACAGTCACTACACTACATTACAATCACTACACTACAGTCACTACATTACAATCACTACACTACAGTCACTACACTACACTACACTACAGTCACTACACTACACTACACTACAGTCACTACACTACACTACACTACAGTCACTACACTACACTACACTACAGTCACTACACTACACTACAGTCACTACACTACACTACAGTCACTACACTACACTACACTACAGTCACTACACTACAGTCACTACACTACAGTCACTACACTACACTCACTACACTACACTACAGTCACTACACTACACTACAGTCACTACACTACAGTCACTACACTACTCACTACACTACAGTCACTACACTACACTACAGTCACTACACTACACTACACTCACTACACTACAGTCACTACACTACACTACAGTCACTACACTACACTACACTCACTACACTCACTACACTAACTACACTACACTACAGTCACTACACTACTCACTACACTACACTACAGTCACTACACTACAGTCACTACACTCACTACACTAGTCACTACACTACACTACACTACACTCACTACACTACACTACACTACAGTCACTACACTACAGTCACTACACTACACTACAGTCACTACACTACACTACAGTCACTACACTACACTCACTACACTACAGTCACTACACTACACTACAGTCACTACACTCACTACACTACACTCACTACACTACACTAGTCACTACACTACACTACACTACACTCACTACACTACACTACACTACACTACACTACTCACTACACTACAGTCACTACACTACACTAGTCACTACACAATTATGCAAACACTAGTATTTCACATTGAATGCTTAAAAGTTTAAAGGACTTCCCACTTTTTGAACCAAACTCTCTGGTCTCATTGGACAAGCATGTATCACCAGAATGATTGACAGATGGGAGGACCAATAGTCTTAATGATCCACCCGGAAGTAGAACATTCCCTCATTTCCCTTAAAGTGCTGACTGCTAAATGTAAAGAGTTGTACCTGTAAGTTGAGGTCGGCCCCATTGTTGATGAGCAGCTCGAGGCACAGCGTCCCATTGGACGAGGCAGCAGACAGGTGAAGGGGCGTGTCTCCGCTGCTGTTGCCATGGTTAATGTTAGCACCACAGTTCACCAGCTCATTGGCTACAGCGTCCTGCCCCATCTGACAGGCCACATGGAGGGCGGAGCTACCACTGCAGTTCAGGGCGTCTGTCTGCAGGGGGAGACAGAGAGGACTGATCTGAGAGGACTGATCCGAGAGGACTGATCCCAGAGGACTGATCCCAGAGGACTGATCTGAGAGGACTGATCTGAGAGGACTGATCTGAGAGGACTGATCTGAGAGGACTGATCTGAGAGGACTGATCCCAGAGGACTGATCCCAGAGGACTGATCCCAGAGGACTGATCCCAGTGGACTGATCCCAGAGGACTGATCCCAGAGGACTGATCCCAGAGGACTGATCCCAGAGGACTGATCCCAGAGGACTGATCCGAGAGTACTGATCCGAGAGGACTGATCCCAGAGGACTGATCCCAGAGGACTGATCCCAGAGGACTGATCCGAGAGGACTGATCCCAGAGGACTGATCCCAGAGGACTGATCCCAGAGGACTGATCCCAGAGGACTGATCCCAGAGGACTGATCCCAGAGGACTGATCCGAGAGGACTGATCCCAGAGGACTGATCCCAGAGGACTGATCCCAGAGGACTGATCCCAGAGGACTGATCCCAGAGGACTGATCCCAGAGGACTGATCCCAGAGGACTGATCCCAGAGGACTGATCCCAGAGGACTGATCCCAGAGGACTGATCCCAGAGGACTGATCCCAGAGGACTGATCCCAGAGGACTGATCTGAGAGGACTGATCCCAGAGGACTGATCTGAGAGGACTGACAGAGCTAAAAGTATAAAACTATAGGTCTTAGTGTCTCATTACTGATCCCTGATTGGTTAGTTCCATGTAGGGTTGGGCAATAAATCGAATTTTGGCAATTAATTGGCTTTTGAAAAAATCTAATGTGAAAAGTGTTAAAATCGTGAAATCGAAAGAAGGCTATTGTGAGAGTTCCAGCAGCTCATTAATCATATTTGCAATATCAGCACAGTCTGTACAAGACTTTTATAATACGTATTGAGGGAAACAAATTAGAAATCGTTTTGAAACTTGAATATTGAGCAGAAAGATCAAAACATATTTTTAAGGGCAAAGTCAGTCTTCCGAGAGTTTAATAAAAATTGATTAAAAATCGAAATCGTCCAAAGCAGGAAATAAAATCGAGATTTTACTTTTTTGCCATATCGCCCAGCCCTAGTTCCAGCTCTCTGCTGTTCCCTGATTGGTTAGTTCCATCTCTCTGCTGATCCCTTATTGGTTAGTTCCATCTCTCTGCTGATCCCTGATTGGTTAGTTCCATCTCTCTGCTGATCCCTGATTGGTTAGTCGTCCCCGTACCTGGACTCCCAGTTTGAGCAGATACTTGACCACGTCCATCTGACCGTTGGAGGCAGCAGCGTGAAGAGGAGTGTAGCCCTGTCTGTCTGTGGACATCACATCTGCTCCATGGGACACCAGCAGCTTCAGCACCTCCACATGCCCTGTGGGGGAGGGGAGAGAGGGGGGAGAGGGGGGGAGAGAGGGGGGAGAGAGGAGAGGAGAGAGAGGGGAGGAGAGAGGGGGAGGAGAGGGGGAGAGAGGAGAGAGGGGAGAGGAGAGAGAGGGGGAGAGAGAGGGGGAGAGGGGGGAGAGGGGAGAGAGAGGGGGAGAGAGGAGAGGAGAGAGAGGGGAGAGAGAGGGGGAGAGGGGGGGGAGAGGGGAGAGAGGGGGAGAGAGAGGGGAGAGAGGGGGAGAGGAGGGGGAGAGAGGAGAGGAGAGAGAGGGGAGAGAGAGGGGGAGAGAGGGGGGAGAGAGAGGGGGAGAGGGGGAGAGAGGAGAGGGAGGAGAGAGAGGGGAGAGAGAGAGGGGGCGGAGAGGGGGGGAGAGAGGGGGAGAGGGGGGAGAGAGAGGGGGAGCGAGGGGGGAGAGAGGAGGAGAGGGGAGAGGAGGGGCGAGAGAGGGGGCGCAGAGAGGGGGGGCCAAGAGGAGGAGATGGGAGAGAGAGGGGGAGAGCTTGAGGGGGGAGGGGAGGCGAGAGAGGCGAGGGAGGGGGGGGGAGAGGGGGAGAGGGGGGACCCCCCCAACTTTTAAGTTAAAGTGAATAAAAAGGATTAAACGTGTTTCCTTTGTTAACCCATATTGCCAGCAGTTTCTGATTACTTGAAAGGTTAATCAATAATCTGTTATCACAATTAAAATATGTATTTGCTGTAGCCCCCGACAGACCTGTGTGATACACAACTGTTAGTATAGTGTGTCACCCAGATGTGCAGCCCAGTGGGTTGTGTAGTATTGTGTAGTATAGTGTGTTACACAGATGTGTAGCCCAGTGGGTTGTGTAGTATAGTGTGTTACCCAGATGTGTAGCCCAGTGGGTTGTGTAGTATTGTGTAGTATAGTGTGTTACCCAGATGTGCAGCCCAGTGGGTTGTGTAGTATTGTGTAGTATAGTGTGTTACCCAGATGTGCAGCCCAGTGGGTTGTGTAGTATAGTGTGTTACCCAGATGTGCAGCCCAGTGGGTTGTGTAGTATTGTGTAGTATAGTGTGTTACCCAGATGTGCAGCCCAGTGGGTTGTTTAGTATTGTGTAGTATAGTGTGTTACCCAAATGTGTAGCCCAGTGGGTTGTGTAGTATTGTGTAGTATAGTGTGTTACCCAGATGTGCAGCCCAGTGGGTTGTGTAGTATTGTGTAGTATAGTGTGTTACCCAGATGTGCAGCCCAGTGGGTTGTGTAGTATTGTGTAGTATAGTGTGTTACCCAGATGTGCAGCCCAGTGGGTTGTGTAGTATTGTGTAGTGTGTTACCCAGATGTGCAGCCCAGTGGGTTGTGTAGTATAGTGTGTTACCCAGATGTGTAGCCCAGTGGGTTGTGTAGTATTGTGTAGTATAGTGTGTTACCCAGTATGTGCAGCCCAGTGGGTTGTGTAGTATTGTGTAGTATAGTGTGTTACCCAGATGTGCAGCCCAGTGGGTTGTGTAGTATTGTGTAGTATAGTGTGTTACCCAGATGTGCAGCCCAGTGGGTTGTGTAGTATTGTGTAGTATAGTGTGTTACCCAGATGTGTAGCCCAGTGGGTGTGTGTGTATGTGTAGTATAGTGTGTTACCCAGATGTGCAGCCCAGTGGGTTGTGTAGTATTGTGTAGTATAGTGTGTTACCCAAATGTGTAGCCCAGTGGGTTGTGTAGTATTGTGTAGTATTGTGTAGTATAGTGTAGTGTTGTGTAGTATTGTGTAGTATAGTGTAGTGTTGTGTAGTATTGTGTAGTGTAGTGTAGTATTGTGTAGTATTGTGTAGTGTTGTGTAGTATTGTGTAGTGTAGTGTAGTATTGTGTAGTAGTGTAGTATTGTGTAGTATAGTGTAGTTATGTGTAGTATTGTATAGTATTGTGTAGTGTAGTATTGTGTAGTATTGTGTAGTGTAGTATTGTGTAGTATAGTGTAGTATTGTGTAGTATAGTGTAGTATAGTGTAGTATTGTGTAGTGTTGTGTAGTATTGTGTAGTGTAGTGTAGTATTGTGTAGTATAGTGTAGTGTTGTGTAGTATAGTGTAGTATTGTGTAGTATAGTGTAGTATTGTGTAGTGTTGTGTAGTATTGTGTAGTATAGTGTAGTATTGTGTAGTATAGTGTAGTGTTGTGTAGTATTGTGTAGTATAGTGTAGTATTGTGTAGTATATTGTAGTGTTGTGTAGTATTGTGTAGTATTGTGTAGTGTTGTGTAGTATTGTGTAGTACTGTGTAGAGGAGTGTGTTGTTCCTGAGGCACTGATCTCAGCGTCACCAGCTTTGAGATTATACAGAAGGTGACAATCTGCTTAACCTCATCAGCAACGATACACACACACACACACACAGACACACAGATACACACAGATACACACACACAGACACACACAGATACACACACACAGACACACACAGATACACACACACACACACACACACACACACACACACACACACACACACACACACACACACACAGACACACACACACACACAGATACACACACACACACACACACACAGACACACACAGATACACACACAGATACACACACACACACACACACACAGACACACACACACACACAGATACACACACACACACACACACAGATACACACACACACACACAGACACACACAGACACACACACACAGACACACACACACACACAGATACACACACACACACACACACACACACACACACACACACAGAGACACACAAACACACAGACACACACACACACAGATTCACATGCACACAGATATATCACACGGGCGGTACGGTGAAGGTCCTGGGTTTGAATCCCGGTCGGAACAAGGCCTTTCTGAGTTTAGTTTGCATGTTCTTCCCGTGTCAGCGTAGGTTTCCTCCGGGTGCTCCGGTTTCCCTATGCCACTAAAAAACAATAGTTCTGTCTGTGCTCTCATCTCTGTGTGTTTAACCGCTCTGTGACTCTGGTCTACAGGCCCAAACACCCTCTGACCCTACACCACAGTTAGTTGTTGTGTGTCCCTGTGTGTGTTTAAACCCTCTACTACCGCTTTGTTTTCCCTCCAAACTGAGGACAATGTGGAGGAACCTTTGTCCCATTGTGTTATGTTCTTTGCCTGTTGTGTGTCTGTATAATCCGTGACTGATATAACAGGCTTGTGGATATTTCAGTCCGTGTAGCTAACGTGCTAAACCTGCGTCAGGCTGAGGCTGAGCTAAACAGGTGTCCACTGGAGGAAGGGAAATCCCATTATGGGTAATCCCCGAGCCGGGACCGTCCTGCGGCAGAGCGGACCGGTCTCTGTGGGGCCAGGAACAGGGCCAGAAGCAGGGCCAGGAGCAGGGCCAGGAGCAGGGCCAGGAGCAGGGCCAGGAGCAGGGCCAGGAGCAGGGGCCGCGACCCTCTCACTCGCAGCAGGACGGACACTCATGCCGCTACAGGTCCCAGACAAACCGTAAGATCTGACTTTATCATGAATACTCCGTCTTGATTCTGACTCCTTTGCTTCCTTAGTCCTGGTCTTTATTGTCATTGTTGGTTCAGAAGGTCCTGGGTTCGAATCCCGGTCCTATGCTTTGTTAGATGTGGTTTTTATTGTTATTTTAAGTTATGGGTTCGAACTGAAGAGAGATCGCAGCCTGAATTATTCTGCTGTTACAAATATGTGGCTGTAATTCATTCATCCATGAGTCGAAGGATTGTTGTTTTGATGAATCTTGTTTGGATCCAGAAAAGGCCGAGACTGTGGTTTGTTTTAACCCTTTAAGCTCAGTGGAGATGTTTTCTTCATCTCAAACTACAGCTTTATACGAAAGTTGACATTTCCAATATGGCCGCCATCTTGATGCTGTCACAATGTACAGACTAGATAAAGAATCAACTTCCATCACAACTTTTCACTCACACTGAAGATATTTTTCATTTTCAGTCTGTAAATGTATATCTATGTTTTAGTTCTGTTTTGAAGGACTCTTGTCTTTGAAGGACTCTTGTCTTTGAAGGACTCTTGTCTTTGAAGGACTCTTGTCTTTGAAGGACTCTTGTCTTTGAAGGACTCTTGTCTTTGAAGGACTCTTGTCCTCTTGGACTCTTGGCTGCTGTATGTGACTGAGAGACTATTGCACACAACTGTAAAGTACTTTGTGACTGGTCTGTGAGAGGCGCTATATAAATAAAGAGGTGTAAACAAATATATATTTCTTGCTCTAGATGCCCGTGGGTGATGCAACACTGGCATTTCACTCTGCGATGAATAAAGGATCTCTTCATAAATAATGGTTCAAACTGAGAGAGACTGCAGCCTGTGTAATGGCTGTAATCCATGTTTTCATAATCTATGAGTCAAAGGATTATTATTTGGATTAATCTCGTTTTGATCCAGAAAAGGCAGAGACTGTGTTTTGTTTTAACTCTTTCAGTTCAGTTCAGAGTTTTCCTTCATCTCAAACTACAGCTTTTTAAATCTTTTTATAAAAATTGCCATTTTCCAATATGGCCGCCATCGTGATGACGTCACAATGTTAAAGTAGAAGATGAAACAACTTTTCTTTCACGCTGAAGATATTTCTCTGTCTTTATCTCAAACCACTGTAAAGTTCTAGCCTTTGGAAATTTGCATTTCAAAAGTATATCTTTTCTTAAAAAATCTCTTTAAGGCGAATACATTCGTTTGAGAACAAAGCTGAAGAACACATCAGGTGTTTTTACTGAAACTACTGTAAACACGTTTTTATTTAGAATCATCTGAGTCAGAAAACCTCAGTGTGGAACCAGAAAATATCTGTGTCTTTATGGTAAAGCAGCATCAACGGCCAAATGTGCCAACGTAGCATGTTAGCATATTAGCATGTTAGCACGTTAGCTTGTTTGGGTCCGGGGATCATACATTAGTTTAAGCAATAAATCAACACACAGACAGACACAGACAGAGACAGACAGACAGACAGACAAACAGATACAGACAGACAGACAGACAGAGACAGACAGACAGA